TATCCAAAAAAAAAAAAATAAGAGAAAGAGAGAGAGAACATGGCTGAGCAGAACCTCACTGATTGTTCCCTCCCCTGCCAGTGCTCATAAATCTGCACAAAACGAGTCCCACCATTTCTCCACCTCCCCAACTGATTGGAGTCAGTAAGAACCTGATTTCTACAGGGAAGTGTGAACAGGATGAGAAGCTCCATAAAACCCCAGTGCTGCAGCAGAGCAGAGAGTCTTAGTTGGCACTTTTATTATACATCAGATACTGCTTAGCTGATTTACTTCAAATTTTTTTTTAGAGTTCGGAGATATCCTCTACAAAGAATCTTTTAAAAAGGAAAGCCCATACTGTTACAGACCAATCAGGTTCCTGGGCCAAAATTTTAATTGCTGCACCACTCTACATACAGAAAAATTACAGAAAGTCAAAAGCAAACTTGGAGGACCAATTTGCTGCAGGGATGCTCCACTGCCTGGTTAGAGCCCCTGGGGTACAGCAGGGAGTAGGTTCCTCCAGCAGAAAGGGGGAGGGCATGCACGCCTCATTCCACTGACCAAACAGGAAAACAGGAAGACATTGTAACTGGCTGTGCATTATTAACCCATGGGGCTGTTTCACACCAGTCACACCCAAAGCATGTTTAGGATACAACACAATTCAAGTATTTTTACTAGGACTAAAAGAAAACCTCATTATACTGGCAAACAGCAACCCAGTTTTTAAGGTGTTATAAATTAAAAACAAATGTTGTTTACAATGACTCATTTTTTGAATGCACAGTTAGGGTAGATGAAGATGAGTTCATAGCCCACTCTGCACAAGAAAAAGCTCATACTGCCATTGAGAATAATAACATATGACAATTCCAGTTCTGGGGAAAAGATTTTGATATAATTCCATTCTAAAAAACATTTTTCAGTGGGACAGCCTCCTCTTGTATCAGAAGCAAGCATGAGGAAAAAGCAATTCTTAAAATCTTTCCAAATGTGTACTGCAAAACTAAACTCTCCCTTGATACCCAAAGATGAACAATATATGTGTGTAGCAGCTATTTTACCAATATAGTAACTCAAAACTAACTCTCCTCAGAAAAGTCTTTAAATAAAAGAATAGTTTGAGGGCAGTAAAGGGCAATAAATAAAAATATTACTTCACCATTAGTACGCAAAGAAAAAAAATCTGTCATCAACCAGTGGCTTGGTTTGAAAGCAGTCTCCTTTAGGGAGAATATCAAGCCTGTTAAGTGAGATGAGTCTCATTGGTAGCAAAGTACTTCTGGATTCAAGATACAGCAATAAGCTTGAGCCAAAGCTGTGACAGGTTCATTAAAGTTCAATATTTTCAAGAGCAGTATCTAAATTCAAATGAACATTCTGTAACACACACACACAAAAAAAATCAAACTCTAATACAGGCAAGGTAGTTGCTCAGCCATGTTAACTCAGTATAGAGTTTTCTCATTCCCAGAATTAGTTGGTGCAGGAACAAAATGCAAACATGGAATGGGAAGATGAACATGGCACGACGGAGCACGGAGTCCACGGGAGGCACAGGACACAATGGAGCAATGACTTGTGTTACATGAGACGGAGATGAGCAGCTATCCGACCGGATCATGCTGTGGTGCTAGTGGGAGTTTGATTGTCATGACTCTTACAGTGATGGGGTTTGTTACTTTTGGGTTTTGTGCACGATGACATTTGCTGATCACGTGACAAGTACTGCAAAGGTATCAGACGTTCAGAGGTCGGTGCCGTGCTTGCGAGGTGATTACTGGGACAGCATGCGGAGAACCGCCCGCTCAGCAACGCCTTCGATTTTTGCTGCCAGGTATCAGAAACTCAGAGGAACTGGGGCTGTTTCATTTTTAGATACTGTTACTTTTGGCAACAAAATGCTCTGGTTGCCCACAGACCTATGCCATGAGGCTTGGACTTATCCATCCAAATAAACTGAGAGAGTTTGAAGGCTGATGACCTACCAGCAAAATATCAAAGTGTCAAAGATGTTTGCAGGTATGGATCATGCTCTTACCTGGCCTTCCTGGAACACCTGGTGGGCCAGGGTTACCTTTAGGACCTTCCAGAGGTGGCCCTGGTAATCCTGGTGGACCTGGTGGACCCTGTAGACCAGGGAATCCCTGGAAACCTGGTTCTCCCTTCAGACCTGGAAGTCCAGGGGGCCCTGGTGGGCCAGGTAACCCAAGTTCTCCTTTTTGCCCTGTAAAACCAGACAGCCACGTTACATTGTTACATTCTGTTACAAAAGGCCAAAAGTCAATTTGCAGAGCCATTTCTCTCTCTTGCAGAAGGTCCAAGTCTGGCCACAGCTCCCCTGTCAGTCAGACAGGGTAAAATTGTCTAACACTCAGGAAAGAGTTAAGGCTAATAATTCTTGCAGGAGAAAGCAGTGTACCTTCTGACATGTTAAAAAGTCTTACTAAGTGTCACTTCACTACTCGGTGATGCTGTAAGTCAGAAACATCCTCTGAGACTGTAAGTCTATAAGCAAAACTCTCTGTGAAGAAATCTGTCTATATTAAGACTTCATAACTTTTTTTTAGACATTGCTGAAAGTTAAGACATACTTGCAAAACTTTAAAATAAGCTGGAGGAATTTAGGAACTTTAATGCTACTGGAAAGGAAGCAATATAGCAAGTAGCTGTACTTTTAAAGCAACTTCATTTCTCATCTGTTGTATGAATGCTTTATTTACTGAGACAAATCAGCAAAGTTCCACACAATGCACTAGGCTGTAGTCCTGTGTGCATTTATTCTGGCTGCATAATTGCTAGTTTACAAAATTCAGTGGTCAGTAATAAACGTCTTTATTACTGTGGTTAATTTAAGACAGTCTGCTGAGAAAAAAAATTGTTATTTTAGTTGTTGCCATGACATTCATTTGTTGCAGAGCATACAACACACCCTTCTTTTTTTTTGGTGTATATATGTATTTTACATTCAACATTTTAACAAGGAGCAACAGGGAAACTTTACCTGACAATCCTGGGAGTCCTGGAGGTCCTGGGCGCCCAAAACCTGGTAAACCTGAAAAGAAACACATTCAGTTAATAATGAACATCTAGCTTTCAGGTCTCCAGGAATGGGAATGTGAGGCTTAGAACAATGAAAATGCAGTTCATCTAAATCTGTGATTCCTTGAGATTCCTGGAATTCTCGTGCACTCACCAGTCTTCATCAAAGCCAGAGGTTTTGCTGTTGAATGCATCTGTAACTTTCACAAGCATTTCCATCCATTTCCAATCCATATTCTTTCAGATTTTGGGAGATGCTATGTTTGCATTTTTTGTTTGGGGTTCTATTTTTAGGGCAGACATTACACTGTTTATGCACCCTGTAACTGAGCTGAAACAATACAGCCAACATGGAATACAGGAACGGGGGCTGGTGTTGAAGTCAGGTAATAAAATCTAAGAGCTGATTGAATTCTTGTCCTGTGCCTCACTGGCACCTCTGTGAGCACCCAGCAGCTGGGAACCACAGGAACAGCTCTGGAGGTGTAAGGGCAGTTACAGGGAAGAAAGGACAGAGTAAGCAGAACATCCCAAAGCAGAGTCAAGAGGAGAAAACAAACAGGAAGGACACCTAACCTGGTTCACCCTTCTGACCCGCTGGTCCCGGGATCCCGTCTCGGCCGGGCTGTCCCTTCTCCCCTGAGGGACCGGGAGGGCCAGGACGACCAATATCACCTAAGAGGGGAACAGAACACATTAGCACAGCCATGCCTAACCTACAACAAAAAAAAGCAGCATCCCCCCTCCCCACCGTCTGAATCTGAAGGTGTGGCAGTGCAATACAAGATTCACAGGAGTGTAATCTTAAAATTAAGACCTTTCTCTCTCTCTTCTGGCAGTTTAGAAGAGGCTTTTAGGCATGTGACCTTTCAAGCAGTCTCTGTTTGCTAAAAATAATATAATGTTTCCCTTTAGAATAAATTAAGTCTTTGCTCCTATATAAACAGGTTAGACCACTGGAGTACTTAACATAAATAAAGCTGGTAAATACTGAAACAATTAACTTCTTGTTTCAATAGTCAATAATGAATTGACTATGACAGTAGACACAAGTCCTCAAAAGAAAGTTAAAACTTCTTTCTTTTCTGTTTAATTTCAGTGAATTATGTGCCTGCAATGACAGCACCCATGTACATATAGATGAATTTTCAAGATGTTAAAAAGAAGATGTTCAGAAGAAAGGAAGTGGCTTCATGTGTTATGTTTTTCACAGAAGCTGCTTATCTCTGCTGCTCTGTTCATGCTCACCTACTGGCCCAGGTGGTCCAGGCAGGCCAGGATTACCTGGAGGCCCCTCAATACCTTTTGGTCCTGGAATTCCTGGTGTTCCTGTGAAGCACAGGCATTTCAATAAAATTAAGCACAAAACTGGTTTTTCAGCAGATCTTGAAATGCCACAATCTGAGATGCCCGGAGTAACAAATGAGCTCATTTTACCAAGAGATTGTAATTGTGCTCATTTTGCAGATTTACAGCTGACCAAGGATGTGAATTGTAAAGCAAAGAGTGTACAGAAACAAAACACACTAGCACAGCTGTCCTTACTGCAACTCTCAAAACTGTCTTCCTAATTGTTGAGTGCCCATGGCCAAGGACACAGCAAGTCTGGCAGTCTGCTAGAAAATTACTATTTTAGAGACAGGTGTTTCTGCTTGACAACAAATTGGAAGCATTATGAATTGTGATTGGATAGTTCTTCCCCAATCCTCTTTTCCTTTTCCTGAAAAAGGATCTTAATAAAAACGGTCTTAAGAGTTTAGACTGCATTCTCACCCCTACAGCATGAGCTGAGTGGGAGGTAGGAAAACCAACGATCTGTTCAGTGTCTGCTCTGAACAGCACCTGAGCCTGACCAAGGCAGTGTCTCAATACACTGTTCTGGCTGTTCAGACTCTCAGGCACAACATGAAGCAGAGGGTAAAACCTGTCAGGTTCATGGTCATAGTTTTGTTCTCTTCTGAGCTTCCTGCTGCCATGACCAAAGTTATAAATTCCCTAATTTCCTACATCAAAGCAGCTCAAGCATAACTGTAGAACAGGTAAAACCTTTGTTTCTTTAAATTGTGAATGAATAGCTGAGGTATACCTGTGAACAATCTCTACTAATATTTTTTAGAGAAGATCGCAAAACCTAACAATTATGTTTCAGAGATTTCTCTTTACAACATACTTTTAGACAGTAAATGGTATGAAAAACAAGCTCTGTTTTCCTGATAGCACTTCTCTATTGATTCATGAAGGAAAAATATGGACAGGAGTATTTGTGGGTCAGAGGATGTGAGAGTCTGATTGCTGTGGAGAGTGGGGAGCATTAGCTAACACAACTGCTACATCCCCTCAGAGCAGATGAATAATTTCAGAAGGCACTCTTAAGAGATGCATTCCCACACTTACTGTTGCCAATTCCAACGGCACAAAGCTTAGAAGCAGCAGACTGCCAGAAACTCTGAAAGAAGCTGGAGCCCTCCCCCAGTTACCCACTGTGTTTAGCTGTGTGTACCAATATAAGCAGGAGGGAAAATGAAAAAAAATCTGTTGAGAATTACCTGGGAATCCAGGAAGGCCTGGTTCTCCTTTTGCACCTGGACTGCCTGGAAATCCAGGCAAACCAGGATTTCCAGCTATACCTTTACTGCCTGGACTACCTGGGTATCCAGGCAAACCAAGGTCACCCTAGAAAACACAAAGCAGAAATAAGAACCCAGTCTTTATAAGATGGGTAAGCCTTTCTTGTATGTTCCCTGTCTTACCATCACATAAAGGTCATCATTATATTGGGTACACCTCTCCTTATATCCAGGTAATGTCAAACATCTCAACAGAAAATTCATCGGAAGTAGCAAGAGTAAAGACTTCAACAGTTTTCCCCTATAATTTTGTACAGAGTATCATAGTTTTTCCTCAGAACTGGCCTACACTGAGAAAAAAGTGTCTTCCTTTTTTCAAGAAGAAACGGAGATTTTTACCCCATGATAATGCAGAATAAAAAAAAAAAAGAAATCTGGGGAGCTTTAATCATGCAATGTTTTGGCTAAATTAATTGTGCTCAACATCAGGTGTAAGGCATCACTGAAGACTGCAAGATATTCTGAAGATCTTTTTATCCCTGTTTTGTGGCTGGCAGAAAGGATGACATACATAAATGTTAATGCAAATATTTTATATAGACTTAAAAATTTTAAGCAGTAGCAATCATGCTATATTATTAGTAATCTATTCTTAAATGCAAGTTGTCTTAATTTTTTAATAATTAACTACATAATTAGACACGGGAACAATGTGATACTAATTGTATTAATCCCTAACAACTATGAAAGTGTCACAGGGAAGACTAGGCCACTAACTGAACCCAGTTTGAAAAGTCTGATAAACTATCTTCTCCTTTAACATGATTAAATTATATATAAATATTTTCACCTTTAAAATTAGAAATTTTTGCTCCCACCTGAAAAGAACAAACCACAGTCAACCCTGCTTGTTATTAATATACTTATATACATATTTACAGTTATACATAATAGATATTAAGCAATAGTTGGGAGAAAAAAAAAATCAACAGAGAATCTAATTTCCTCATGGACTTTTCAGTCGAAAAAATTTGTAAAGGTACCTTTGGTCCAGGGGGACCAGGAATACCAATGGTTGAAAGACCAGGGTCACCTTTCTCCCCTTTCAATCCAGGAAATCCTGCAGGCCCAGGCTGCCCTGGACGTCCTGCTATTCCTTGGCTGCCTTTAATCCCTGGGGGGCCTGTCCAAGAGATAAAGTACAAGTTTTATAAATATAAATAAAACTTCTGCAGTAATTTACAGAAATCACTCAAAGTACAGTAACTGAACTAGAAAGGACTAACAATTTCACTGGCTGGCTTTGAATACCTAATGTGTTTTTATTTTTAAAAACAAACTAAACTAATTATCTAAAAATCTCAATTATGTATTTAGGGCTTTATGTATTCCTCAACTTTATTGCTCTTTATTATTACATAGTACATACAAGCAGATCCATCTTTGTACTATATAAAAGGAAAACACTGTCCCAAATTAAGTAAAATACAAGCACAGAAACTAACCTGGAAGGCCCATCTCTCCCATAGCACCTTTTAATCCTGGAGGTCCTGTCGGTCCTGGCTGCCCAGGAAGCCCCATGTCTCCCTTGATGCCTAGGAGAGGTGTGATTTAGTTAATTAATGGCAATAATTAAAAGTTTCAGATATTCATGCATTCTCATATGAATCTGCTTGTCATCTAATTACAAAGGCAGTGGATTTGAAGTTGCTTTAGGCCTCATACTGCTCCTACATGCTTTTTCACACTCATTTGTAGTAAAATATTAAAGACCTTCAGTTTGTTCCAAGCAAAAATTCGATCAGGGCAACTGCTTATTTGTTTTGAAGATTAGTCTAATGAAATGGGTCAAATCTCAGGCCATGATTTAACCACCATCTGAAACTATTTGGTACTGGTGTGACTTGGTCTCTCCTGAGTTGTTCTGCAGAATGAACACATTATCTCTTTCTTACCTGCAACAGGTATTGAGCAGCTTCTATTACAGAATTAAATGCAACCTACAATGCCCAAACTAGTTTGAGTCCTGGATGGTTAAAAATATTCCCCAAGCCCAACAAGATATTTAGAGCAAGACCTACATTAGACACAGCAAGCAAGGACTCAAGATCTCGGAGAAATTGTTACAGCTGTGGGGAGAAACAGTGCAAAATAGAATTTGTTTTCCTGATCCTTGCAATTCTTTAAAGTAAAGATGTGACACCCAGAAACAGCTTCTGCAATACATTCATTTGGCCATTTGCAAAGTATAATTATTAACAATACAAGAAATAAACATTTGAAACAACAGGTCCTGTTGGCAGATCCTGCAGTTGTGTTACTTGCTGAAGCAGCAAAGCATTTTTCCAGTCATCCTAAAAGCTACCCTAATCTTCAGTGGGATCAGCTTAAAGCAGCTTTTGGGTCTGTTTGAAGGAAAGAGCTCCAAGCATGCTGTTTGGATAATGACTTTGAATGTCCCAAAACTGTGCTGCAGTTTTAAGTGTAAATTTCTAAGCTTTGCTTAGATATACCTGGATTAACATCCCAATTCCGTGTTATCAAAGCTCATGCAAATTCTTACTCAAAGCTGTCTCTGTGAGGCCTTGTTTACTGACCTGGCAATCCTGGCACACCTGGTGGGCCACTAAGTCCTGGTGGGCCTGGGTCACCTGGGAGTCCTTGATAACCTTTCTGTCCTGATAAACCAGGAATACCTCAAAGGAAAAAGATACAGTTTATTGTTATTACTATTACTACTACTGTATGTTTTCTTTCACCTTAAAAGATCAGATGTAGCTATAGGTGAACAAAAATCCAAATAGGGATTTTTCTTCAATAAATATAATTCCTCCTAGTTTAGCAAAGAGAAGTATCACAGAACACAAAATATTGGTTCTGGAAAGATTAAAATTACTACAGAACGGGAACAATATAAGAAAGGAGAGGAAAAAGTAACTTTCTGACTACTGCAAATACACTTCATTCAGAAGGACTGTCTTTCAGATGAGCAGATTCCATGCTAACCTTTCTATATTCACCCTGATTATTTATATACAAGTTTAATTACATTGCTACACCAGAATCACTTTGGGACTAATACATTATAAAAAGCAAAGCATGTGTTTTAGCAGATTTTTCCAAATTCCATGTGGTTGTTATCCCATACATTGACTTTGTGTTGCCCTGCCTTAAACCTGCTTCTACAGCTCTTACTTAACAGAGGGGAAAGAAAGAAAAAGGAAAGTAGTGTCTTAGGATCCTACCTAGGCTTCACAGAAATTAATACAATAGATAAATTAGCACAATAATGGCTGGGACAACATTAGGGAAAGGCATTCTGGTTCTCTGTAGGGTAGAATATTTTTACTCTTCTCAAGACTCAATTAGAGTTCAAAGGAGGTATCAGAACCCCAAGCGGGGGAGGAGTGGAAAGCCACCAAAACTGAGAGAGAAAACAGACTTGAGTGGACTGGGAAAAACTTTCAGGCTGCCAACTTCCCAAGTAGAAACACACACAGATGACATATAGCTCAGAGGTGGGTAAACTTAGAGACACCCAAAGGGAGAATCTGGAGGTGGTGCATGAGCAGATGACCTGTGTAACTTCATCCTAGAAGGGAAAGGCCCAAAGGCCTTTGAGGCAGCAGAAATGCAGCCAGTGCAGCAGCCATGACAACTATCTCTCATCATGCTTAGGAATAACACCTAGAAGAGTGAACTGTAATCCTGCTGAAAGCACCTCAGTGTTATTACAATATTGCCATGTGCCAAATAATAGTGTCATTGCAAACTAACCATACAGAGGAACTTGGCCATATAACCCCTTTAAAAAGGCCTAAAATATAAGACCCGTAAGCCACAATCATATTCTCAGTTTATTTTTTTCTGTAAGAAAGAATGAACTGTAATGGATTCAGTCACAGCTCACTATTATCTGTAGAGGACAAACCACCTCCCCAGACCACATGCAAAGTTCTTTACCTGGAACACCTGGCTCTCCTTTTTCTCCTTTTGCTCCCAGCTGTTTTGGATCAACTTTTCCGGGTGGACCTGGCAGACCTGCTTCACCTTTGATGCCTTTCTGTCCTACCGGTCCAGGAGGCCCCGGCGGACCAGGCAACCCACTGTTACCTACAGCAGGGACAGATAACAAAAGGGAAAAGAATATAATCCTTAAGGTAGGCTAATACATTTGTAATGCTTTTTCTTACCCAGGGAGTCCATGATTTAGTCATGAAGTTGGAATTCACTAAATGATCAGTCAGTTTATGCAAGGCTGCTCACAAGCACCTTTAGCCCTGGAACAAAGCCAAGGGATGGAGTGCACAGGGGTGTCTGTGAGCTCTGGGCAGCCCAGCACAGAGGGACCAGCTGTGTCTGTATGAGCCACGTTTAGAGCTCCCAGAGCCCCACCACAATGGGCCACCAGCAACAGCTACAGCAGCTTTGGATTCACAGCCTCCCTGTTCCAGGGAGATAATTGGGGTTTTCTTCTACAGAACTCTTCTTCTCCTACGAGGGGGTTAGGAAAATGCAGATAGAAGAGTTTCTCTGTGATACCTACAGAGCTGATTTTGGATAACCCCATAACCCAAAACTACTGATTTTCTTCTTTCTGTTCCTTTAAGCAGACTTCACAACACACTTCAGAAATATTGCTTTACTTCAGTGCCATCCATCCGAAGGAAAAGTTTTTAAAATAGCTAACAATTCATGACATCAATTAAACAGTGTGACTGAATGCTATGGCTCAAAACATCAGCACTGTCAAAAGAAGATAACTTAAGCAGGTCCCAATAATGAAGATCTAGATGTTAGTATTACACATCCTCCTTCCACACAGGATGTGGAAAACAGCATTCTGCATTCTCTTCTGGGTGTATAAAACAAACATTACCTTTCAAGCCAGGCAGGCCATTTCTTCCAGGAGTTCCTGGAGGCCCTGGAGGACCAGGAGCTCCCATGACGCCCATCTCACCCTTGGCACCTAAAGGCATTGAATCACCATTGTCATTCTGAACAAAACCTCAAGACTTACCAGTACCTTAATTTTACTTTCCCTGCCCCTCTATGGTACTTATGAACCAGCACATGCATATAAAGCCTGTGTTAAGGGAATTACAAGCACTCAGTTCTTGTATAGATCTAAATCAGATACAATGACACTTGAAAATTGTGGCACATTTTCCACAGTTAAGTCCTGGGAAGAAAATTTGCAGTGCTCTGTTATGGCAGAAAGCATATTTGTACCTTCAAGAAGTTTAGTTCCCTGGTTTGAAATACAAATACTTGTTTGAAGCAAACTTGAATTTAGTGAAAGCCAAGAAGACAATTAAGTATACACTACTTTTAGAATGTTTTGTATTGTCTCCTCTATCAAAAGGAAGGACTCTCACTTTTGAATTTCTGTTTCAAAGGACAAAACAGACTAGCTTAACTAAGTAGTCTAACATGTAGAATAAGGAAAGTAACATTTAAGACTATGTAGCATTCGTAATTATTTTCTTTAAACAAATTTTATTTCTAAATTGTAGCAGTGACTAGAAAAAAAATCACAAAATAAATTAGAAAAGTATCATAACAAAGATGATCAAAGTCACATTTGAAAGTTATGAAACAGAATAAGGTGTACAATATTTAAATCAAGTTACATGGAAAAGTGGAAGGGTAACAAGGATTTTAATGCAACAAATTTTGTTACAATTTTTTTAAAAGTATGAGATGTAACAGTTACATGTATCCAACTTTAAATAGGTAGGATAAACATCAAAGTTCAATAAGCTGTCATGGCCAAGCATAAAGAGCATCCATCTGTAACTACAGTTTGGTCTTTGTCCACAAGCAAAATATATGAACTTACCTGGAAATCCAGGTATTCCATCCCTGCCAGGTGGCCCAGGTGAACCCTGAGGCCCTGGTAGACCAGGGGGTCCTGGATATCCGGGGGTTCCTCGGTCACCTGGAGGACCAGGAACGTCGAAGCCTGGAGGACCTGGATCCCCTTTCTCCCCTGGGATGCCTTGCAACCCTAGAGAATGTTGTTAAGACACAATCTTTTAGAAAAGTCAGGCAAGGCTGAGATCTGTGTGTCTCTGGGTGCACTGCTGTAGGAATAGCTAAGTTTTATTTGCAGTCCATTCCTAGCAGTGATGAAAACCCTGCAATTCTTCTAAAGCAATTTATTTTTTAATGGCTTCCAAGTGTTAAAAGGCCATATTCTCCTGAAGATAGGCATTACTAAAATTTTACCAAGGTGTAGCAAATGCAATTAAAAAAAATAGTCTCTAAAGAAAAACAACTGTCTTCAACAACCCTTTAAGCCTGACTTATAAAGCAAAAAGCCAAAATTGATTAGACTGGTTTGTGTTTTATAACTAAGTATTGAAATTCTTATATTTCCATTAATGATTCTGTTTTACTACATCCTAAGATAACATTGGCTGAATATTTTTGAAGGATAGCAAAATTTTGCAAGGCCTTACATTTCCCTGAATGAAAAATATGAATTGTCAAAATATGCTTAAGATTGTTTAATGCTAATGACACTGAGCTCGAGGCACTGCCCGGGCAAGCAGAGAGCTTGTTTCCCTCCAGTGCATGGTAGCAGTGAAGATGCTCACTCTGGAAATGTAGCTGACAAAAAAGGATTATTCATAAATCTGAAGTTAAGAAAAGGGTTTGGTAAAGAAACCACAGTACCTGGGGGACCTGAGGTTCAAAAGCCAATGAGTTAGAGCTCATCAGGAAGTTGAGACAGGTAGCATTAAGGAGTTGTAATAGTCGTTAAGTTAGGAAACAAAATAAAGCACATACACATTAGAACAAGGAAAAAAAATCTACCTGAAGTTACAGAAAGCAGATCTAAGTACAAAGAATTCAACAGTAATGCAGTTAAGAGAAACCACACTGCAAGGACACTCCAAGTTTTTTCAGTGTCTTTTTCAAGGTGCAGCCACCACTGTATGCAGAAACAACAGTGAGATATTTTCAAATACTGATGGTACATTTTAAAAATAAAATTGTTTTTCCCTCTCTTCTTGTCTAGTATTCTCTACAAAAGTAGAGAATAAGCTTTTCTTATATGTTTTTTTACAAAACTGCCATATCTAGATACTGGCTTGGACACCTTCTGAACACCAGAGAACATCCTACCAATCAGCTTCTTGTTGGCTGGCCTCACATTCTTCAAACAGGGATTTTCAATAGATGCTGCTTCTTTATCACACAAAAAGCCTTTAAATATTTTCCCCCATTCTTTTAGTTCTATTATGCAAATGTACATTGTTACACCCACAGACAGCATATTGTGCAGTGACATAATCTACTGAGATAATGACACCACCGTGCCAAAACTTCATAAGTAACTCCCAGGCAGCAGAACTTTGTAATGGTGACCCCACTCTGGGCTGCAGGAACAAGTTTAGGAGTGATGTCATCATGTGTTCTTTGCACACTGAAAAGGCAGATGGAGTTTTCTTGATGGCATAAGCTGTAGACTTGTATTTATTTAATGATAAGTATGCTCCCCTTTGGCAGCAGCTTATCACTGCATTAAACTGTGGGGTCATGTGCCTGGAACTGCTTCCTCTGCAGATGATGCTTAAGGGAATGCACATGCTGTGTGTTTAAGGGCTTTCTATCAGCAGGAGGAAAAAAAAAAAGGAGAAAATAATGTATTACCCAATAAGAGGACAAACTCCTTATCTAGAATGATAAAGATACTTTTGCAAATAGAAATTAATTCTAATTGAATTTCTGGTTCTCAAAAATGTAGCCACATCATAATTAGAATAATACAGACAACACAGTAAATTCTAAAGTAATTTGTTACATATTTAAAAAAAAAGAAAAATGTTGAGCTACTGCAAACTATTTGAATAAATGGTGGTGCAGAGAAAGGAAATTCTGAACAGGGAAATTCTTCCAGAAATTGTCCAAATTATCTGGAAAACAGAGCCTCAGAAACTTTACCCTAATGTTGCATAAAGAAACAGAATTAAAACAGCCTGGTAAAACAAGCAAGGGATGGGAGATGGGAATGTAAGACATTCTGCACAAAACAGAGACAGAGCAGTGCCAAGGGAAATAACAAGGATTTCTCAAGCATGCATTAGAGTTCAGAGCCACCATGCTGTTAGTAGCCACAATGATTAGTCAGTACAGACATGAAGAGTGAAAACAGAGGCATTTCAAATCCATCAGCTCTAGTGATCGTTGTGCATTTGCCAACATTGGTATTTTGCGGAATAAATCAGTGATCACATGAAATCAAATTCTGGCTAACACCAGAGGAGATGTTACAGGAAGACAAAAGAACATGCATTGGATGAAACATTCGAACTCATGCTAATACATCCCACCCCTCACCCCAGACACACCCCTGTGTTCCCTGCTGTTCCAGTTTAGCCCCAAGTGCAGCTCAGGCTGTACAGTCAGCACAGCAAGCCAGGCACAGCATCCACCCCCTGGCTCAGGGAACCCCTGTGCACATTGCCCAGACCCCTTCTGTCCCTAGCTCTCAGTACTGGGCACGTTACAGGCTTGCTGGTGCACCGACCACATGTTCCTTCCCCACTCAGAAACCTGTGAAAAAACAGACCTAGACATGACCCACACTTTACGCATGTGAGTAGAACTCAAGCTCCACGGGTCTACTTATTCAAGTGCTTGCCTACCTTTAACTTAAGCACTTTATGAACTGGGAGCTGAGATTCGGCAAAGATCTGAATATGATCAACTAATCCACGACCCATGGTCTTAACAGCTGGCCATGAATTTGTCAGCATGCATTGCAAACAATGCCAAGCCCAGTGCTGGCATACAAACACATTCAGAAGGTGTAGCTCACAAACATGCAATGCAAACATTCACACAGGCATGGCAAGAACCAGATGGATTTTGAAGGGTTTGTTTCAGGGCAAGGCTGCTCAAGTCCACAGAAATGTTCTCACTGTGGTGACTGCCACATATTTGCAACATCAAGGGTTGATGCACAGCAAGCCCATTCACTGAATGAAGGGGAAAGGAATTTCCCTAAACAAACTTCGTGAATAGAATGATGTGCATGCATGCACATGTACCCTTTGTGCACAGAAATGGAACAAGTTCATATCTTCATCAGTCACCAGTCATTTTGGACAAAAGATAACCAAACTCACATCAGAGACATTATTCCTTATTATCACCATTCTTGGATTCTACTTTGTCAATCTAATTTAAACCTATCAGGACTCATAAAACTTGTTGGTTTTGCAGAAAAAAAAAAAGTGCATGAGGGAATCAGGAATCCCAGAACTCAGAGGTTTCTGTAAGAAAAATTCTAAAACTCTTTTCTAGCTGGGCTTATGACAAGATAATTGTGTGTATGACCTCTTTTATTGACAGGCTTTTGTTAAAACAGTATCATGTCACTACCTGGAGAACATTCTCTCCTCTACAAAATAATGAACCTGCTTGTTTGGAATACTCATGATTTCTTCCTTTCCACATTAACTTGAGTTAAATTGTGCTTCAGGTTCCATTAAAGAAAAAAAAAAGAAAAGAAAAAGTGCCTGGCCATGCTAGGGAGAGCCTGAATTACTGACTTGATTTTGTATTCAACAAGTAAGTAGAGGGAAGACAAAAAGCATTGTATAGGGAATTAAGCTTGCTTTTTTTCCAAACCAGAACTTAATTTTCTAGATCAAAATATAAAAAAATATTAAAAAATACCTCTCATCCAGTGAATTTGGAATACAGCTTGGTAAGCTAGAAAACCATTTCAGAATTTAAGAACCATCTTGCTGTTTGAAAGCAATGTAAAAATAGCACAGTACAGGCAGCTCAAAGCAGCTTTCCTCCTCTTCTGTATCCCAAAACCTCTGCACTAACATTGTGCTCCCTTCTGTCTTGTCCTGAAGAATATGAACTCTAAGGATAAACTCCTTCACAGAGATTTTGGCACTATCTGTGCACAACACTTTCTAGAATTTTTGTTGAGACTCTGAGCTCTCTCCAAAGTGGGCTTTTACACCCTTGAGATTTATGCAAGTTGTGCAAATGGCAGGGCTGAATGTAATCCCACTGATTTCAGTAAACATCATCATGTACCAAGTTTTGCCAGCTTGACTGGCGAAACAGCCAAGCTAATAGACATGAAGTCTCTATCTTTTCTTGCTGCCTTGTGTAGCTGCTTGGTGCAGGCCAGAAATAACCTAAGGGTACATACAGTTCATGCAAGTTTTACCTGGGGGGCCAACTGGACCTGGAGGTCCTGGAGATCCAGGTGGACCTTGACCACCAATGCCAGGGATGCCTGGTGGGCCTGGGAGTCCTGGTGGTCCACTTGGTCCAGGATCACCTAAAAGAACACTCCTGTTTAGTTAAATACTGAACTCAGTTCAGAGACACTCACTTTCAGAACAGAGTGCCTGCACATTGTACTTGAAGTCTCATTCTTGCAAGCAAACAAATATTGATCCAACACAGGAAAAAACACACTTTGGAGGCTATTTCTGAAAGCCAGAGGTTTGCCCTCACTCAGTGTGGAATGCTTGCAGTTTAGGTTTCTAGGCTACCCACAGACATATTGCATCATCATCCACATCAAACTCAACAGGTGCTCTCCAGCAAACCAGGCTGGGCAGGTCAATACAGACCATGATCAAGAACAGGAATAAATGAATTGTAATGCTCTTGCATGTTGAAGCACAGTGTATCTAAATGACAATTATTCTATTGATAAAGTTTTACCCCCATGTAAACACAATTTGTCTTTAGAACACAGACTTTCAGGTACTGACTCACAGATTGGTATTTACTCCCTTGCTTGCCTTTTGAGAACACAGTCTTCCATTTACACAGGTGTGTCTGATTTGGAAAAATGGACCCTGAAGTAATTGCTCTGAAGTCAACACTGCTTGTATTTAACTGCCATATGCCTCCCAGCACATCTACATTTTTAAAAGTTCAATAGGGAACAGAAAGAGAAGAGTTCTCCATACCTTTGGGCCCTGGAGTTCCATCAAAACCTGCTCGTCCTGGGAGACCAGGGTTTCCTGGGAAGCCAGGATCACCTTTAGGTCCTTGAACTCCTTTTATGCCTGGGGGTCCTGGGGGTCCAGGTGGTCCTGGAACTCCAAATCCACGATCTCCCTATTACAAATTAAAAAAAACATTAAAAAGGGGTTTTCTAAGTTTATCCTCTCCTAAAAACATTCAAGTAGCAAAGGAAAAATGACCATCATCTTACAGTGCAATTTCTATTTTACTGCTCTCACTCAGACCTCAGGCAGAGAATGTGACTTCCCTTCTCATCAAAAGCTGAGAACAAGAGGTGAAATCCTCCTCACCATCTTCCCACTGATCCAGAAAAACCTCTAAGATAGGGAAGTTTTATACTAAACACAAATACAGACCTTCTGTCCCGGGAAACCAGGTGGTCCAGGAGGTCCATCTAGTCCAGGGCGACCTGGAGCTCCTGGAGCTCCGGGGGGGCCTGGAGTCCCTGGGAAACCTGCACATAACATGAAGGTTAGGGCAGGAGAAAGGACACCAGAGAGCATTAAAACAACTCTTCCAGACATACCTAAGGCCCATGAAAAGAGGTTCTGTGCTAGCTCAAGTGTCCTTGGGGGTACCTGTTTGGCTGAGGTAACTTTTGAGTATAGTCTTTGCCACAGAGGATCTCTGGGACTCTCAAAGTGGGGCACTGCCCATACTGTGTGCTTTTGCAAAAATTACAAACAGTTGACGTCAGAACCATTAACATCTTGAGACAGCATTTGGAGATCTTTTATTGATTCAAGCTCACTTCCTGAAGTTTTACCCATTTGCTTTTTTGTCCTTGATTTACTGAAGAATGTAAGTGATTGGGAAGGAGCAGGACAGTGAACAGTGAACAGAGAAAAAAAAAGAGCTCAGCAGTTTTTTCTCCTGATATTTCTGAAACTATTATAAAGATGTATAAACATAAGACAAACATCTTTTAAAGGATTCTAGAGACAGAAAACAACTCACTAGGAAAAAGTGCAGACACAACCCCCCTATGTCCCCTCTTTCAACCACTACAAAACAATACCATGGCAGTAAACACACCTTTTGGGCCTGGTGGTCCTGGAAGTCCAATGCCAGGAATACCTGGCTCTCCCTTTGCACCCGGGATGCCGGGTAAACCACGCTGACCTGGCTGGCCAGGATCTCCTGTGAAAAGAAGAACATCAACATAGTTATCCAGAATCAGTCAGAATAAAAAGATCTTGGAATTCCTTGGATATCTAGCTGCTGCTTTACCTGGAAGACCTGGATCACCACTTCTTCCTGGAGGACCAGGGGGGCCAGGAACTCCCGGTTCTGTAATAGTCTGTCCAGGGTCACCTTTTGGACCTAAAACAAAAAAGCAGAAATATGAGGCACTAAGTAGGAGTTTCTTTTCTGTTTTTCTTTCAGCAGAAAAAGGTGCTTACAAAGAACTCAAACACCAGCAACCCTTTACCCAACAGGTTTTCCACTCCCAAGCTCCACAGAGCACCCAGAGTCTCAGAAGCCTTGTTCAATGTTAAGACAGTTTTCTTGCAATGCTACTTTTTTCTAAGCTTTGTCCTAGGTACCATCAAGTGATTAGTATTTTCCATAGCTGACACCAGCACAGCTTGATTAGGATCTGTGTAGTTGACAAGCAAGTAACAAAAGCAAACTTGTTCAAAGCAAACCCTTGTTTTCAAAAGCTGTTGTAACTGCAGGATGGTTAAGCACATGCCAGACAGTTACAATGCACTTCCACTGCAGTCAGTGGGGAAGGAGAAGTTTCTCTGGAGGTCAGAGCAGAAGGTGAGGCACAGCAGTAACATGGCACAAATGCTGCTCACTCTGTGATTCTGTGATGACCCTCAGCAAGGGAGCTCATAAATACCAGGTCTTACAATGCCTCTGGGAAAATCTTAAAAGCAGCATCATGTTCTGAGAACTATCTGGGGCAAAAGGGCAAAGCTTGATTTTGCAGTGTTTGCTCAATGGCACACAGAGACCCACTCACCAGGAACACCAGGAGGCCCTGGACGGCCGGATACACCTTGGATGCCCTTTTCACCAGGTGAACCTTGTGGACCAAAACCAGGAGGTCCAGGAAGCCCTTTTTCTCCAGGAAGACCTGGTATTCCTGGATCACCTGGAATACCCATTTCTCCTTTGAATGCAACACTGCCCTGAAAACAGAAAGAGTAGCATGGGAAAGATCATGTATTTACTATCAAAGGAGTAAAGTGTTTCATCACTTCTGTTTTGAAACTCTTGGGCACTTTCTACCCTTCCAGCTCTTAAGACCATGGGCTGCCTACATCTTACTAATATGGGAGAGAGCAGGCCTAAACCTGGCTCCTTAATTCTTCCCACTACATTGGTGAGATACAGAAAAGGGCAGAAAGGACCATCTGACACTGCCCAAGAGAAGTCTCAGCTTATTTCTAGAGGCACTGACAGATTCAGGAGGTACCTCAGTGCATCCTCAGTAGATTGGCATCTACTGAAGAGCCTTATCACACTCAGAAAAAGTGCATTGCCAGTCCTCTTCTCTGCACTATGTCAATGCAGGACTTCCCCAAATATCCATCCAATCAAAGACAGCATAAAATGGAACTCACAGGTTCCCCCTTAGGGCCAGGTAAACCTGGCAGTCCATCTCGACCAGGAGTGCCATCTATGCCAGGGAGACCTGGAGGTCCTGGGAAGCCGGGGTCACCTTTGTCACCTTTCATTCTTGGAGAAATTAGGACATCCCCTGGGTCTCCTTTAGGACCAGGTCTCCCAGGAGCACCTGGGGACCCTGGGAAGCCCTGAGGGAATTAAAAAAAAAAAAAAAGAAAAGGAAAAAAGCCTTTTAGTTTTTCTTTCACTCCATCTCTAAGTTTGGCACAATATAAGGATTATGCATTCAAGGTAGTTATGACAAAAAAATTAGCATTAGACAAGAAATTATCTTGACTTTACAGATCTATGAATCATGCAAGACAAATGAGACACTATTTTCCCACCAGAACATAACACCACCACTTACTGGTGGCCCTACAAGGCCAGTTAATCCAGGAAGCCCTTTTTCACCTTTTGGTCCAGGAAAACCAGGAGAACCTGAGTAGTGCAGAAAAACATAAAACAAAAACATAAATCTGTAAATATCAAGCATGCTGATTGCATAGATAATATATAAGTTGTTTTAAAATCAGGCAAAGTTTACTCTGGGTTGTGGGTTTTTTTGGGTTTTTTTTGAGAGCTCAATTTTATTTTAGCAGAACCAAATTTGCAACTCTAAGTTAAATCAGTAGTATCAAAAAATATCACGCTTTTAAAAAGCTCCAGCTCCTCTATTATTCCAGGAATAGCAAGCAGTAGAAGTTAATTTTTGTCTTTCAGTTAAATCTACAACAGAGCCTAAACCTTCAATACACAGAATTCTTGCAAGGCTGTCTTTGAGCAGAGAAATATTTTTGAAAGACTAGATTTTCAAAAAAAGAGTGATTGTTTTACACGTCTCCAGCCCGTTCTTTCCCAACACTCCCCAACTGTGCAAAATACAACATGTACCAACTATATACTGGAGCTGGCAACTGTGCATCTGAATTTGTACACAACACACAGATGTACTGTTACCATTATACACAGATACTCAGCTAGAAGGGTGACTTTATGGAATATATTAAGCAGACTAGTGAAGCCCAAAGCCTCACCTGGACTACCCGGAGGTCCTGGTGGTCCTCTCTCCCCAGGAGGCCCAGTTACTCCAGTTCCTATGCAGTTGAAGCACGTGTCTCCTCGATCACCTAAAAAGGTTTGCATTGAAAAATCATACTTGAGCATCACATGTTAGGAAACATTAAAAGAATTCAGCACAACAGCAACTGTCTTCTTCCTACTGTTTTAAAATTCCAGGTCCAAAATGACTATTTTAAATAATTATTGCTTAAATATTAAGTTTCCCCCATGAAAGCCAAAATGAAGCTTTTTGGTGACTAGGAGTCAGACAACCCATATCAGATATAATTAGAATTGATTTAAGATGACAGTGCAAAATAAATTAAAACAAAAAACCGCTTTCAATAATAGAAAATAAAACTATGGACTTCTTCCTCACCAAATGAGTCCTAAAGTAGGTACTTGACACTTTAAACTACAACTCTAAAACACATATATCAAAATTCCAAACTTTGATTGAACTCCAAGAGTGCAAAATAAATGCTGGGAATGTTTCACTGATTTGACAATAAACTAAAATTACTTCATTTTTAAAAAAGAGAGGTTTCAAGGAGTTTAGGAATTTTCTTCACAACAGAATTTCTTAATATTTGAGCATTTCATTTAGGTTAATGAATTATTCTCTACAATCTCCATGAGGAAAAATAGTTCTGTTTGAAAGAGGTACAAAATTAAGTGAGATGCCCAAAGTCATATAAGATGTCCATGATGAGCTAGAAAAAGATTCTCACTTACCCATATCAGCATCCTCATTGCAAGGTTGTCTTTTTGGAAACAAGGATACATATTAAATATGACTTTCTTTTGCTTACCAAACAAAGAAACTCACTGTAGATTGACCAACTCAATTCCAATGTTGCTTTCCATAAAAAATCTCAAACTTATTAATGAAGCATAGAAGGTTTTCACACAGACTTGGCAACTGCTGTTACAGAGCACTCAGTTTCTATCTACCTGGGAGATACTCATAAACCTCAAGCTCCATTTTACTTCATTCTGAAGCACATGATCTGTGCTCAGCCCTAGCATTGGTTGTGCCCACAGTCACTTTGGGACTCCTGTGCTTTAACATTAGATGAAGGAGTATCCTATGCCCAAAGAAACAGCTGTCTTACTCAGAAACAGAAAATATCTGCACTCAACCCTACTGGGAAGAGACACTGTTAAGCCTTATTTAATGCAGAGTTTACATTTTTTAACAAGCTTCAACAAAAAGAGAAAAACCAAGACAGCCATGACACTGCACCTTTTTGGCCTCGCTCCCCTGTAAAGCCTTGTTGTCCTGGAATTCCTGGAGGACCTGGTGGCCCCTGCTCACATAACCCTTCACCTAAGGAGAATCAGGAGAGGTTTAATGATCAGACTGTGTTTTCTAACAGCAGCACTGAACACACGAATTCAGGACAAAAGTGTACTTCCTAGTATTTGTGTGGATATTCTAATATATCCCCCTAATCACAGACCAAACATTTTGGCAATTCAGACAGAGGACTGCTGGTGACAACAGACACACATAATCCAAACTCAAAAGGAAAAAATCAGTGATATTACACAACAATCATCAGTTCTTCACAACCTCAACTATCTCCCACTGCTTCCCATTTCCATCTCTACACTACACTCCAATATTCAGCCTCACATTTTAAAAACATGCATATGAAACATCAGAGTAAGGGGACTTACAGATGCCAATGCCATCTAGACAATAAATTCCTTCCTGAACCATGTTAGTCTCCTCTACTTGCTGTCTATGTGATCCTCACTTACCAGGAGTAACAGATGGTGCTGGTGGCCCTGGGGGACCTGGTGGTCCTGGAGGTCCTCGTGGTCCAGCAAGTCCTGGTTGCCCAGGAATAGAAACACCAGGTAAACCTGGATCTCCCTTCTGTCCTCTCTCACCAGGTAAGCCAGGTGGGCCAGGGGGTCCAATAGTAGTGATCCCTAGGACGGGAATAACTTAATTCTTTGCCAGCTCAAAGGTGTACATCACATTTTTGCAATGATGACAATGATATATGAAGACTAACATGCTACAGATAAGTCTGTCTTTCCATGTGAGTACTCCATAATATTACATTTATGGAATCAAACTACAAGTTGATGTGCAGTATTTGCCATATGCACATCTTACATTTTCAGAGATGTTTGTTTGAAAATTTGACCTGACACTGAACATCTGAATTTATGAAGAGAAAAAAAAACAAAACAAAACTAACAAAAGGAAGTATTGATGGAAAAAAAAAAAGAATATATACAAGCTGTACCACAGAATTTTAATGTTCTTCTCTGTGCATGTACAAGGCACATACAGGTGTCACTGCTCACTCCCACTGCAGACTCAGTTCATCTCCTCCTTTACTACTGGCCAGCAGAGAATAGGTTTGATGGCCAGGTACCACACTTATGGTAGACAATACTTTCTCTGTGTAATGCAATGGATAATGTATGTTATGGGTAAATGATTAGAGATAAATTATCCCCAGGACTATTAAGGCAGAATCTGATTTGCATCCTCAGTTCACCACAGCAAAAGCAATGAATGTTCAGAAATCCTCACGCTATCCCCATAAGCTCGAGACTGCCCTTCAAGCTCAAAGGTAGTTCTAAATAGTTCTGCCTTAATTTGCTGCTCAGTCCTTCTGTCAAAAAGAGTGTGAAAAGACTGTGAAGCCAAATATCAATTCAGACATTTGAGCATACAACTTATTTTAAAGTTTGCACTCCTACCTGGAGATCCTGGCAAGCCAGGTGGGCCTGGCCTACCAGAGAATCCACGATCCCCTTTGGCTCCTGGAAGTCCTGGCAATCCTTTGCTACCTTTTGGTCCCACTGTTGCATCAATGCCTGGTCTTGGAATGACCTGTAAATGTTTCATGCTCATGTGAAACAACTTGCCAAGAAAAGAGTTACTGGAATGGTAAAGAGATGTCAGGGGGGGGAAAGTTCAAAGTACTTTGAACCTTATACCAATGACAGGATGCTTTCCCTACTGCACTGAATTACCAGGTGAAATTCCAGTAAAGAGCACTTCCCAAGAGGAAGCTGTTTGACTGCCAACATAGCCACAGCAGGATTCAGTGAGACTGACTCAGTTCTGCTGGGTTGAGCTTATAGTCCAGCCTGTGTTTGCAACCCAGCAAATCTGAGAGCACAGAATTCATCTTGAAAGAAGGAAACCATCATTTCTATCACTGAATATATGAAAACTTCAGTGGTGCTGTTATTGTTGTACCCAGAGATAAGGCTTTCAGTCTGACAAGAACTACAATGAAACAACACTGCCAACCAAATGCAGAAAGAAAATAAAGCATCAGCAACTTACAATTCCAGGAGGACCAGGGGGACCCATGTCACCTTTTTCACCCTACCAATGAAATTAAGAGCATTTTTCATACTGTGCAATAGTACATAAGTAAGTTATTGCAAATATTCCTCAACACTGCAAAGCATAGGTAATGCAATTCAGACAGAATTGAACTCAGTGATGGCAGATTTTCAATCTATTATGCAATACTGACAGAAAACCTGGCATACCTTTTCACCATCTCTTCCTGGAGCACCATTTATTCCAGGCCCACCGGGTAAACCCTTCAAGAATAGAAAGATAATCACACTCAGATCTCCATATCAGAAGAAAGCTTATAAGGAGTCTGCTTAGATCAGAAATATATGAGTTACTCACATCCCTACCAGGCTGACCAGGTTCTCCATCTTTGCCAGGCTTTCCCTTCAAAGACATAAATATGCATTGAAATAAAATGCTTCAGCGGTGAAGAATTTTCATGGAAATTATGTTACTTATTTCCCATTTTTTCAGTACCCAAACTGCCTCTAGAATGCAGTCCTTGGGACATATATGTCAAAGACATCAACCAAGCATAATCAATAGAGTTACCTAAACTGAGGTTTGCATTTTGAAAACCAGAGCACAAAACCATGACAAGTCTCGAAGAAGTATTGGGTGAATACAGCACAAAATTATCTCCAGTTAACTATTGCTCATTCACTGTGGTTACTACTCCCTTTACTTTAACACTACAGAAATCCTTTATTTGGAAAATAGATCCTAACTCCCTAAACACTAGAACATTATATTTAATTAGGAAATTAGTATCATGTGACCAGTGAAATTAAATACAAACATTTTTGTGTTTGAATATTAACTCTCCTTCAAACCAAACACAATTTTCTCAATAGTATCAACAAAAATACAAACTGCAATTCTGCTCTAAGAAGTGACTTCTAAAACCCACATATCCTTGCTGAACAGCTTTGTCATTGCTGCAATAAAAGCAGTGCAAGCTCCACTTTATTCCAGACCATTCCCTGGGCAGACAAATGTCACTCTATTGTTCGAGTTACAGAAGCTGAGTGCCTGGGGGGCACCTGCTGGAACACAACTAGAATAGGTGATTGAGCTTCACCACGGTGTCAAGACCAACTCTCAGTCACTGAGAAGTTGTTAATATGACCTCACAGATATAGTGTATCAGAGTATAACGTGATTTGTGAATTCCTTATTATTAGTGATGAATTCTGACTCTCAAAAATGAGGTTTTAAGATTTCCTGTGAATTTGCAGAACTATCCCTTGGAATACACAGCCTGACATTTTTATGAATATATCTGAAATGAGCCATACAGAATCATATGGAGCCCTAAAAGGCAACTTTTAAGTAATTTAATAGCAAAACTGCACTTTAAGTATGCCCAAATTCAGAGTAATAAAACCAAATAAAAATGTTGGTAAACACGATTTTGGCAAAAGGCATCTGACACATCCCCTCAGGACTTTTATCTTTTCAGATCTTTGCAAATTCATGTGGTTTCCATTTACTTTTGTAGAGAAAAGCAACAGTTCAAAACCCACTCAAAATATAATGAGACTTTTGGCTTTTCAAAGCTGCCTCATTTGTTATGCTCCTTAAAGGAGACAAATCAAAGCCCTTCTATAAATCTCAGCAACTAAGAAGGATTTTATCTCGAATACCAAACATTTGTTTCCACTGTATTTATTTCCCAAAGAAATTGGAAAACCTACTACCAACATATTTCTAAACAGTGTTTATATATTGTCCAATTAACCTGAGCAAGACTTGTGTCTTGATTTTCAAAGGGGCCCATTATGTTGATGAAACTATGTGCTCAGAAGCTGTGGAAGTGAAAATACAGAATGCTTTGAGCTGCTAACAGCTTGCCTTCTCTTTCCTGGTCCAGCCCATGTTATTTTCATCCTATTTCTTAGCACTTCTATGATCTTCCTCAGCTCTTCTGAGCTGTGATATCCATTTAAATTCCAGGATTGATTTGAATCTAGTCAGGAACAAAGTGACTCATGCTATCCCTAGATACAGCCATCCTGACTTGTCCCCTCCCCAGATAGCACATAAATTGAGGCAATATCTTTGGAAGTGACAAACAGATTTTTTGGTCTTAATGCAGTGTTCAGAGACTTGGTTTTGTGACTCACCTCACAAGTAAACCCACAGAGAATGAGTTTACATAGACCAGCTTATATATACATATATATATACACACACACCAATGGGATGCTGCTTGGCAACCCAGTACATCGCAAACTGAATGAAGACCCTTTGTAAAAGGGAAAAGAAAACTGCTGCCTCAGACAAGCAGCCCAACAACTTTGAAGAAGGTTACCTGTTAATCAGGTAACATAATTCAAATTATTTTCTCCTGCCCCCAAAACTAAGTTCCACAAGGTAGATAATTCTTTCAGAAAGCACTGAGAGAGCCAGAGCTAGAAGCACTTTCATGACCCACGTGCATCATCTACAAGTTTGCCAGGTTACAAGGGGAAAAAAAGTAGTCTCTTACCCAGAGGCTGATGGCCCCACCTGAGTTCAACATTTGTTTAATTCTCAAAGATAATACTGATTGGAAAGATAAATGTTTGGTTAAACAGACTACTTACTCTTTTGCCTGGTTCTCCTTGCTCACCTTTTTCACCTTTTACGCCACCGGGAAGACCCTGGACACACAAATGTCATCTTAAACTGAGCCCACAAGCCAGAGTAGAATGAAGTTACAGTTCTGATACAAATGCAACAAAAAAGAACTAAGAGAGTTCTACTCACAGGAGGGCCTTGGGGCCCAGGAAGTCCTGGTGGGCCTGGATCACCTGGAATACCCTGTCAAGCATGGGCAAAGAAAAAGCAGATTAAAGCCTCCATCACTCCCTAACAGCTCAGTTGATTTTTATTTTTTTTTAATAGAATTTTTTTTTGCTGTCACTTAGATTTCCAAGTTCTGAAGGAGCATATTTATTCTTTCTTTGTGTGGAACTTCAAGAGCACCTATAAATTTTATTAACTGCCCATCCTGTTTATTTAGGTGATTCACTCCACTAAGACACAACTGCCTCCTGTGTGCACTGTAGCAGCTGGTTTGGTGGCCTGCAGCTGCTATACAAAAATAAAAAGAAGAAAGAAAGAACAAACAAATTCCAGATCCTGCTGAAATTACAGGAGCAAGAGTCATTAGATTACTGGTAATTGCTGAAGTTGAGAGGCCATCAGGATCAAAGTGTGTTTGTCAGAAAGTGTTAAAAAAATTTGGGTTTCTATTTTGTCTTGTTACACCTTTGTACCAGTTATTAAATCTTTTCACCATTAACCTACAGAAAAGTTACCAGCTATTGAATCCACAAAAAGTTTCTGTGCAGTTTCTTTTATTTTCATGGAGGCCTCCCAGACTTTTACAAGCCCATCTACACACCTGATTTTAGTCAGAGATCACAGGTGGAGGCCCACAGCAAAACTCTGTGTGTATTTCACAAAAAGAGTAGCTGTAATGTTGAAATTTTTTACTGATTGTGTATTACCAAGCATAAACTTTGTTGAAATAAAAACAAATTCGCAAACTTTGAAATCATTGTTAATGTTGGCCAAAGGCAAGGCACTCAGAATGTGTTTGTAAGTCTTAGTGCTTTAAAAGGAATGTAGGTAGAATACTTCCACTTTGTACATTTACATAACTTAATGCCAGTATAATTAGTCCTTCAGGGATCCCTGATGACAGAGGCAAATTGCTCTGACCCCAATAAAATCAGATGAATTTTTGCTTCAATGAAAGTGTAATCAAAATGTCACCTTGTCTTTCCTTAGAATTACAAAGACACACAGTCCTGCTCTTTACCTTCTGTCCTACCATCCAACAACAGAGAGAGAAAACCAGAGACTGAGACCTTTCTAGGATGACTGCACATTTCAAATGTACACCAGTGCATAGTTCCAAGTAATGCCTTAGTGGTGCCTAATGTTCTTCTGAAAGGAAGGGTAACAAATGGCTTTGATCAAGATCACCTGCTCCCTGCCAAAATAAAACACTGCTGTGTATCTAAGCTTTCTTCTCTGACACGTTTCCTAAGATAAAAAATTGGAAAGGAAGAAACTGATCCAAATACAGATGGAGGAAACTAATAGTTTAAAGTTCAGTTACCACAGTGACATTTGCAAAATAATCAGAGCATAAAAACACTCACTACTTCTTCCTCAAAATATCTACCTCAACTCTTGTATTACTTAGGGTGGTATTTGAGAATACCACAAAAGCTTCAAAGAAAATGTGACATCTAACCACCCATGATCTTGCTGGTTCTGCTCAGACTGCCCATGACTGGCAGCCAGAATTAAACAGTACTGCAAAATGTTCCCCAGTGAAAAAGAAAAAAGTGTAATAACTTTAAAAACGGTTACTCTCCCCATGGCTTTTTGGCATTTAGGGGTGGGGAAGGATCCATGCAAATCAAACCAGCAGTTTGAGCTCACTGTCACAATACGGCTTGATAATTACTGTTGAGAGGCCAGAAACCGGGAAAGCACTTTATTCAAACCACAAGGAAGAAAAGATCTTGGGGCATCACTAATGACAAAAAAAAAAGAAAAAAAAAGGGAAGGAAAAAAAAAATCGAATTAAAATTTTTGAAAGACTTCCTCACAATGGGTGACACAGCTGCTTAATTAGTGGGAATCTGAATCCCCAGACTGCTTTGAAAATCACAGTCTGGGTGTTCCAAGGAATGAGAATATTTTAACTGCTTTTACTGTGAACTTCCTTTAGGAGAGTTTCTTAAGAATAGTTACTTTACTAAGGGAAGTAACTGGACTAATGTGACTGGCATGCTTGCTATTAAAGGAAAAGTACTCAGGCCTGGAACAGGCAGTACTCTGAGAAAAATAACAGAAGCTCTGCAGTAAGCAGGATGTGAACATATATGAGCCAAACCAACAGAGGCTGCAGCTTAATCACATGCTCATTGCAGATGGATGTAGTGCCCCACTCACCTGATCTCCTTTCTGAAACTCAATGTCATTTGGTCTTTTCTGTTCTCCAATTTGTCCTGGTGGCCCTGGAGGTCCCTGAAGACCTTGTTCACCCTAACGTGCAAGAACATGCAGTTTGTTACAGGCAATACAAGCCAAAATGACAAGTGTAAGCATTTTGAAAGTAATAAGCAAAAATATCATCGTGATCCCTACTCACTTTTTCGCCTTTGGGTCCTTGGAAATTCAAACCCATATTACCCTGCAAAAAGTATAACTCATCAGCCCTTAGAAGTCACAAATAAACAGAATGAAAAAGAAAACAGTCCATCACCACCATCAATGAGGTAAAGAAAATACCTTGGGTCCTGGCAGCCCTGGTGGACCAGGAGGTCCCTATTAAAAAAGGAAATCAAAAAACAAGTCACTTCCAAGCACTTTACATGCCCTTTGTCGAGAAAAACCCCAAACCACTCCCCGTGTTGACAAAGCACCTTGCCTTCCTCTGAAAACTCTTTTTCATGCTATTCAACCTCACAAATGTGTAAGAAACCAGTTCTTCCTTCAAGCAAGAGAGTAAATGAAATTAAACAGTCAGGTATTAAACATCCTACTCTAAATAAGCTAAATCTTGTCCCTCAGGTTTCACACAAATAAGAAGACTGCACAATGATTCAGTCCAATTTAAAGCAAAAAAATGTCTGAGAACAGGCTGTTTCAAAAGTATCTTATTTAACCATACACAGTAACAGCTCCAGGGTGGACTGAATGCATGGTTGCTGCTCTCTTCATACCGAGTCCTGACTACCATGATCTCTGCACTTCACTGACCTGCCTCTGAGAACACGAAAGAAGTAACTGTCCCGTTTAAGGTTTTATAAGTAACAGGTTAAAGAAACTTACCGTCAAACCTGGGGGCCCTGGAGGGCCAACTGGACCTGGTATTCCCATGGAGCCAGGTGGGCCCTGTTGAGAAAGTGGAGGAGGCTATGAGAGGCACCTTTTTATGAAAAAAAAAAACCCCAGGTAAGATCTTCAAGGTCAAAAAAACCCAACAGTGGCATCTCTTACATGTCAAATCAATGTAGTTGACCACTAACCTACCAATCTGTCCTTGTGGAAAGGCCTAAAGGGGTGTACATCATGTTAGGAGTGTTCTGCTCTCAACATCAATACCTCTCTTTGGCTTGGATAAGGGAATGCTTTTTTGTTTGTTCTGAACTACTTTTGCACTTTCTTTCTCTTCATGCACTGAGAGAGAACAACAAAACACTTTGTATTTGTGATTCCTCCCAGCCAGGAACAGACAATAGGGAAGCACAGATCAGAGGACCAGAAATGCTAACAGGCTCAGTCTGGTCAGAATAGCCTGGGGCTTGCCTCTCTGTACCAGGAAATGGGAGTCTGGCTTCTGTCCAGTTCAGGCCGATAGACTCATTTTCGGCTCCCCTTGTTCTTCCACTAAAGCAATGAATGGCTCAGTGGGGAAGCACAGGGCCTGGAGTCACTAGCTGTTTTCACAGAAGACTGCTGGGAGAACAGAAACACTGTTCAGGAGGTGCAACATGAGGAGAACAGCTGAGAAATTACCCTCTCCTTCCCACCATCCAAAACAGCGGCTACAGCCCAGAAAGCCAGATGTTACTTACTTTAACTCAGGGTGAAGAAGGGAAGGGAACTCCAGAACTGATACAAAGAATGTCTAGGAAGGGGGAACAGGCAAGGGAAATAGAGAAGTAAGTCAGTAACTGTGAGTGCTGCTGTCTGCTGGATACCACCTTCCTGACCAGGGGACCTTTCTGGCCTCTGTGGGTCAACCTATTAAGAGCAATATGGAATCACACACTTTCCCTCAAGTCATAAATTAGAGGTACATCAAATGTGAGCCCTGAATCTCCAAATAAACACATGAATCCCCTAGCACCAAATCTTCCAATTGTGCTGTAATGCAAACACTGTTCACATAATCTTTTTTGGCAGAACACAGCCTAATAGTACTTTATGTGACTTACAGGTATCCCTGGAAGACCTGGAAATCCTGGGTCGCCCTTCTGTCCTGGCAGCAAGGATGTAATTATTTCACCTGCTTCACCCTAGAAGAAAGAGCTGACTTTAATTAACAGCACCTTTGACAATTCTTTACTACCATTCTGACTTCAGAGCACCCAGAGCTATGTTCCACCCTAGCAGCACACTTTAATGTAAGTACCAGATTCTCCAAGAATAGCTCTTTTTAGGAGAGATGGAGATTTTTTAAATGGCTAAACTAACAACTATTAAAAAGTTTCTTTTCTACAAATATATCAGCATTGATTTAAATTCCAAAAGATTAGGGGATTGAAACACAAATGCTTCACAAAAGAAACATTCTAGCTCTCCATAAAAGCAGTTGATAGGGCACAGCAGAAAAAAGGCTCATTCAGCTTTTTCCAGTGTCCCACCTCATGAAAGTACTGCTGAGTATGCTGTTATAAACAGTCATGTTTTGTGGTCTATATTGAAGCACAGTTTTCTTACTGATTCCAGGGAATATCTTTGTCTATATTGAAGCACAGTTTCTTACTGATTCCAGGGAATATCTTTGTTTTAAAAATATGTGTTCAGATAAGCTTGCCTTTTGATATCTTGAAAATAATTGGGGCAAAAAGGAGCTGAGAAAAACAATTCAGCTTAATAGTCACAATTTCCCAGCACCAGTGTTTTGTTCTCCTCTCAGGAGCTTATTAGAACAATTCTGTGGGTCAAGTTTCCTTTCAAATAGATTTGAACCAAAACTGATGTTTTGGCCCATGCTCAAATCAGTCAAGGATACAACCAAAACAACCCTTAAAACATAAAAGGGCTTCTTAAGGTTCAACATCAGATCATGAGACTATTTACGTCATGAGAAAAAGCCATCTAGGTAATCTATACAGTTCAAAGCACGTTTTCAAAAGGAACCTAAGTTGTTGTACTATTCCCTGGATATTCTAAGTCACTACTGCTTCGTCTCCAGTGGTGTTCTTGAGTATTCACAGGTACTCTGATGGTGTGTTTGGGTGTTTGTTTTTGCTAACTTGACGCCTCACAACACCAACACTGTCCCTCACAGCCCCAAGGAAACCACTTTCAGAAAACACTCTGCTACTTCTGGAACTACTGACCCAAACTGAGTAAGCTACTGCAGAATTTCCAGTCAGCTGCACTGGAGTGGCCTGGAAACACTAAGAACGTCACTCCAGACACCAGTGGATGCACATGGTCTTGCATGAAAGCCAGCAGGTTACTCAGATCACACTGCACACCATGCCTGGTTAGTATTTCAATGTGATACAGCACACTTACCTTCATACCTGGCAGACCAGGGGGTCCCTTTGTTTAAAAGAAACAAACAAACAAAAAAATAAAAGAAAGATCAATAGAAATAAATCATTGGTGTGTTATTTGCAAACCACTAATCAGATCTACACCACGAGGCAAACATTAAAGATAGAAATTTAAGAAAAGCTATGAAACAGGAGAAAGTAAATTTTTTATGAACTTCAGAATAAAATGGAAAAATTAGAGAAGAACTTTCACAGTGAGTGTTGAGCATTAGAGAGACTGCATTTCCATTTCTTAGCAATTTTTTTCTTTATTGCCTCCTATTATCCATCCTGTCTACTACATCTCTTTCCATTTGTACTTTGGTTCTGACAATCACTTTGCTGTACATCCTTGTGTTTTATACTGAAAACATCCAACACTGTGTCTCTTTTTGCTGCCCCATTAATCACCAGTAAGGCTCTTTGGATGTACCAGATGTCAGTATCAAGATCTTACTTTTCTGACACATAAGCATGTATCTGTGTTTTTCTGCAGGTGGTAAAGCATCTCAGCATGTGAGAATTCAAAGGGTTTTTTATGAGCTTTACCACAGCACACAGCAGAAAAGCTCACTTTTATTAGACATCTAAAGTACTCTGATTAACCATAAAAAATAAAAAAAATCTTATTTATTAAAAGAATAACTGCAAAAAGAGGCTGATATTTATCTGATTTTTCATAGATCTAAGTAGATTTTTCACAGATCTCCTTCAGTGGATCACAGGTAGTTGATTGGGAAATCTTTTACTTACAGGAGGCCCTTGTAAACCAGGAAAACCCGGACTGCCTGGGAATCCACGCTCTCCCTTAGGGATGAAAATAAAAAGATTAGCCAAAACTAAACCAAAACATAACAAAACCAGATAAACAAATTTTGACTGAAAGTCAAAAAGTCTAGTTTCATTGCTAGCTTACGACTCCAGAGTAGCAAATTCTATTGGAATAAGCTGTAGAATAAACACTTAATTAATTCACACAACTGATTGAAACACAGATTTCCACATTCAGATATTTCCACATATTTTCAGTCCAAGTACTACACTAGAGATGGAAAACACATGCAGTGCTACAGAAGATTAACTCATAGGAAAATCTGAATGTAAAGCTAAGTAACATGTTAGGATAAAGTCATTCCTTCCAACAAGGATATTGAATCAGTATTTTCAATACATATTATTAAAAATTAATAATTTAAAAGTCTCACTGTTAAGTAATGAGTTTTTCTTGGTAGCAAAAGTCTACTATAAAGATGAGATGCAGCATCTGATCTAATTATCAGACTCTCAGTTGTAATCTATAAAATTAAGGATTAGAACAAAGAATTTACTACACTGGCTGCAGAGTATAAATGTTGTGTCTTGGTGCTGGCAAAACTTGTGCTTTAAGTACTGGACCATGTTATTATGTTGCACATAATAAATTAAACCTATTGGCTATAGCCAGGAGAACAAGAGCTCTTTACCATATTATTGTTGCATTGTTAAGAATTTTAAAGGTATTCCACCTTTGTTCCATTGCATCCTGGGATACCCTGAGGTCCTGGTGGCCCATCTTGTCCTGGTAATCCCTTCAAAGTGGAAAAGAGGAAAGAAAAGTTAGATTGTAGGAAGACGTTCTGGGCCTGAAAGTACAAAAAAAACCCCCAGATTTGTATCTATACAGACTATTCCTACTCACAGGAAGTCCTGGTGTTCCTGGAAATCCTGGAAGCCCTGGCGGTCCCTGAAGGAAATGAACCACATTTGAAAGAGTACAGTAAGAATAGATGTGCAAAAGGATTCACCAAGATTTTAATCAATGTAATTTATTTGTGCAAATGTAAGTAAACAAAACCAGAAACATCTGAATCACCTGCAAAAAAAAAATGCCATGCTGACAGCCCTCAAGATTCTTACCAGTCTTTCAGGGAACTATCCACAAAAACACAGAAAAGATAATGTTGAACATCTAAAGTAGTAGTTCATAGATATATACATAAAATAAGTGAACACTCGTGGTTTGGGAAATGGATGTGTCCCAGTGAAATCAGAGACATATCAATTCTTACCAGCTGAGGGGTCTGACAGAAAAAGCAATGGCACAAAACCTAAAGGACTTCCAGACAAGTCCACCTCTCCCATATTGACCCTGGATATACCCTGTCTCTACTTCAGAATACATGGAAGCAAAGTTACTGGCACTGGTTTAGGTCCTGCATTGCAGAACAGATCAAATAAGTATTTGGGCTACTCTCCCTAATGAGTTTATGAAGTCAATACAAGCAGCATGTAAGACTATTGCTTATGAAATCTTGCAATACTTCCAAAAAGTAGTACGATCTCTTCTAGCTGGTAGGTAGATTACTCTTCAGATTTAAGTTAATTTTTTCTCCTGTAAATCACCACTTCTGTGAGGACCCACTCAATGCCTGGCAGTCTTTATCCATAATTCCAATATATCACCCTAAAACTGCACCAGTACTTACTCTGATTCCTTTGGGTCCAATAGGTCCTGGCAGACCATCATCACCCTACAAAACAAAACCAAACAAACAGAATTCCATATTCAAGTTTGCAGTCTGCCTTTCCATCAAATTAAACTGTAAGCACGGTAACATTTCTTTCACATGTTTACAGTAAGAGGACTAGAAGTTAAATTAGTTGTCATTTCCTGAGTAAAAGGGTTCAAAATTATTTTATTTTTGGTGTTGTATTTGTTCCAGCTGATCTACCATGACTTAGAGGAAAGGTTTTATAAAGGTCACAGCTCTCTCAGACACTTGTCAGGTGCTCTCATTGAATATCCTGCAGCGGCCCCTTGTGGGCAGAACAAGAGAACCAAGATTAAATGTGACTGATACTGCACAGGCATTAATTTGTTTTATAATAATCATAGAATCATAATGCAGAACTTCATACCAAAATCTTAAGAAAAGGCATTTATGGAATAAAAGTATAACAAAAGCTTCTAGTCCAAGACTCCTGTGCTGTTTCACTCCTGTTTTATCCAATTAATCTCCTCTAGTGAAGACTTTTTTTTTTCTTATCATCTGCCTATTTTTTTCTTTGCTTCTTTTTGATGTGCTTCTTTTTAGGTTTATACTGTGAGCACATGCAAAAGAAATGGCAGATCCTGGATATCCTTGTGTATATTAAAGACAAATGCATTCAGAGGTATTTTACTGCTGTACTGTACCACTGAGTGTAATGATGCAATTCAGTAGTAAATAAAAAGAAACCTGACCCCTCTAGGGAAAGCCAGGAGCATTCCTCAGCTCTCTGCACACAGGTTCAATGAGGCCTTCATTTGCATCACCCCATCCAAACCCAGCCCAGGAATGCCACCAGGTGCAAACAACAGTTTACCTTCGTGGTGGGAACCCTCGGGGCAGCTGAGAGGGAACTCAGCTCTTATCAGTGAACTAAGCTAAGGCAGGAGCACGTTAGTGCAAGGACTAACAAACCTCCATTACAGCACCTTGCTAAACCTGTCCTTTGACCTGAATCTGCAGCACCTAGGGAAGGGATACAAGTGTGCAGGTAGTGCTGGCAAGCACCTGTGTAGGTGAAGAACAGGATAGGAAACCCAGAGCAATCTTTTTCCTCTGGTTGACCATTCAAACCAACCAACCAGAAACCTATCTTATATCCTAACATCCAAAGATTTCGACTATTAAACCAATGATAATCAGGAGTTCTGGAATTTAGGATCAGCACTACAAGCAAGCTAACACTACCCAGCACCTTCATGCTATTCAAGTGAATTGGGACTTACCTTCGAGCCTCTTGGACCAGGTGGTCCTTCTGGTCCTGGAAATCCAGGCAAACCTGGCTGTCCTTCCAAGCCTGGGAATCCCCTTTCGCCCTACAAAAAGAATAGGTGGTAGTGGAGGTGGAACGTGGCAAAAACATAAATTATGATAGATTATGATTTACCTGCAGTTTCAGAATATGCATAACTGCAAATTCACAAAATATTTACTTTTATTTCTTCTATAACACAGATTCACAAAAATCAGTAAATATTAAGGTTTTGACTGGTACAAAAAAGTTAGGAAATACCAGAATTAATATGCCTTTTTGCATGTATCTATATAATGTTACACTTTTCAACTGTGTAAACAGGTATTTCCTACAGTTCTGTTACATCAATCAGTGTATATATAACCGTTTACAAAACAGGTAGTTGTTCAGCACTATTCTTTATTGCTCTACAGATAGGTTTGGTTTGGTTGGTAGATTTGGTTCCTACCTGCAAAACCCCTCTGTTTATTTACCCCAACTGTTTTTTCACAGCAACCACAGGAACTGCCAAGGAAAAGTTCCATCCAGACACCTTAATCACAAGGTTTTGCACATTCTCTTTGAAACCAATTTGTCCTGAACTTTTCTTTTCTTGCACACTTCAGCAAGAACAGGAGTAGTAGCTCCCACATCTATTACCTGGCAATCTACCAGCTATGGCACTCTAGGAACCTGGGAAATCCTGCCCAGCTCTCCTCAGTCGAGTGAAACAACTGAACCAGCAATCTCACATCATCACAGAAATGAACTGAAGACTGGGCACTGCAAGCAGCCAGAAGCACACAACTGCAGCCTTGAACACAATATGCAAAAGCCAAGTTTAAGGCTTTGCCCATGTCCCATTTATTTGCCATACAGAGCTGTATGCTAAGCACAACAGCAGTGTTATGTCTTATTCTTAAATCCTAGTTTTCTCACTGTATTGCTTAGGTAGATGCTCTGTATTCTAGTGTGGGAGGCAGGAACTTGGAAGTTGCATTCAAAACACCCACAGGATGCTGAGATCTCAGAAAAATTTTCAGAGAAAGTAACAGGACTTCTCTTTCTGCCTTCTTTGCCAGTGCTTGCTCTACTACTTTCACAGTGGAAACACAAGAGGAAAACCTTTGGATGAGATTAAAGGGTGTATGTGAGCAAGAGCTGCAAACTTACAGAAGAAACAGCTAAGCTGTACTTAGTCCTACCTACACAGTGAGACTCAAAGACTCCTTGCATAGGAATGAGCAACTCATTAACTGGTCTGCTAAAGTTGGTTTCCTATTAATTGAAATGTAAACATACTCCTCTTTTACTGTAGGTCACATATTGCTGTCTTATACAGGACAGACATCTTTTCTCCCCTGTGAAAATGCTGAAATTGCACTATAACTTGAGGCAAGCTTAAGTGTGGCAGTCAGAGTCCAGACTCTCTTTTTGTACACAAAGTGCCAGGTTGTACTGTGGTGGGTTGACCCTGGCTGGACACCACTCTGTCACAGCCCTCCTGGGCAGAACAGGGGAAAGAAAACATACAAAAAAAGCTTGTGGGCTAAGATAAGGGCAGGGAGAGACCACTCACTGACTACTGTCCTGTGCAAATCAGATTTGACCCAGGGAACTTAGTTTAATTTATTACAAATCAAATCAGAGTAATGAGAAATAAAACCAAATCTTAAAAATACCTCCCCCCCCCTTGCCTTCTTCCCAGGCTCAACCTCACTTCCAGTTTCTCCACCTCCTCCCCCATAACAGCACACAGGGACAGGGAATGGGGGCTGCAGTCAGTTCATCACATATTGTCTCTGCTGCTCCTTCCTCCTTAGAGGGAGGACTCCTCACACCCTTCCTCCTTTCCAGCATGGGGTCCCTCCCATGGGAAGCAGTCCTCCATGAGCTTCTCCAGCGTGGGTCCTTTACACAGGCTTCAGTCCTTCAGGAACAGGCTGCTCTGGTGTGGGTCCCCTATGAGGTCACACATCCTGCCAGCAACCCTGCTCCAGTGTGGGCTCCTCTCTCCATGGTCCATCCACACATCCTGCCAGGAGCCCGCTCCAGTGTCAGCTTCTCACAGGGTCACAGCCTCCTCTGGGCATCCACCTGCTCTCTCTCTTGGGGTCCTCCCCAGCTGCAGGTGGGTCTCTGCTCCCCCACAGACCTTCATGGGCTGCAGGGGCACAGCTGCCTTACCATGGGCAGGAGGGGAATCTCTGCTCTGCCACCTGGAGCATCTCCTGCCCCTCCTTTGTCACCATCCTGGGTGTCTGCAGGGCTGTTTCTCACCTATTCTCACTCCTCTCTCCTGATTGCTACTAGTGTTGCACAGGTTTTTTCCCCTACCCCCTTAAATCTGTTATCCCAGAGGCACTACCACCATTACTGTTGGGCTTGACCTTGGAGCTGGCTGGCATTGGCTCCATTGGACATGGGGGAAGCTTCTGGCAGCTTCTCACAGAAGCCACCCGTGTAGCCTTCCCTCTACCAAACACTTCCCACGTAACCCCAATACAGGTGCTTTCACGTGGAGCTATACAGTTGGTGTGCTACCTCATCAGAAAAGCAACACTGTGGAGGAGTGTTACTATCTCAGGCCAGGATATGAAAGGGTTAGTGTGTCCCTGAAGGAGTGAGAATGAGGAATTCGGGAGTGCCAGATAAGGAAAACATTAGGCAGAGCCAGATTTTGGAGCAAGCTCTGGCAAGAACTCTGTTTGCACACTAAGAGAACACACCTGTGTACAAGAGGTGTGTCAGATGCGTCAGGTGGGAGCTGGGCTACACAGTGTCTACTAATCTCAACCTGGTCACACTTCTCCACATTTTTAATTAGAGAAAATAACATCTCCAAATGGCTGCTAGAGCAGACCTTTACCAGAGGGTTGGCCTTGTGAGTCATTTAAGGCTGAAGAAACTGTTCTCCAAAATGCAACTATACCAAGGTCTCCACTCTAAACAGTCTCAGAACTTGGAATCCAAGGCCTTGAAAGAAAGAGAAACACGAAGCCAAACAGTTAAGCAAGAGGAATACAGGAGGCAATAACTGATTTAATTAAACTGCACTACTGAAACTGAGTATTTCCCAAGCTCAAAGTGAGCAGCAACAATGAGATCCTTGCATGAGGAAACTCTTGCCAGGGCAACTCCTTGGAGTTTACCAGTAGATTACCCCCAAGAACCAACAGATGATTTGAGGACTCTGCTCAGGGACAGCTGAGGGACTACACCAGACAATTCCCAAGGGAACTGTATTAAACTAATTACAGTGGAAAATAGCTGCACTGTAATCACTATTTTTCATTAAAAAATTGCTTGAAGAAAGAAATGCGGGCAAATTGGGAAGGGGGAGAAGCCAAGCTGATCCAGCTCTCTTGAATACAGATGTTTTAATTGTCTTCTACTTCAACAGCATATAGAAGGATTCCATAAGTGAGAACAGTTTTCAGGTGTTGCTTCTGTCCCCAGACTTTTCCTCTTGCACACACTATACTGATTTCCATGAAGGTTTGTATGCTACAAATTTGCCAGGAAAAACTGCCTGCTCATTTCAGGAACATACTGAAACTGAAAATAAATTTAACAAGTCTTCCACAAAAAGTCAATGCCAAAAATGGACATTATGTCATCAGGGATACAAGACTGAAGTCCTTGGATAGCATGCAATGAATTTTCTTATGAATGCAAGACCTGTCACTAGCCAGTTCTGCTTACACAGAAAGAATTGAGGAAGTCTGGATACTTTCTGTTTCAGACTGGAAGCTACTCAGGAGAAACAAATAGCAAAGGTTTAGGTCAACTCAGATCTCATCTTTCAGTCCTGAAAGTACAGGATTGTTTCCATAGCAAAATAAAGATGCATCAGCTATAAAACCATCATTTCCTTGGGGAATGGGCAAGGAGTCAGATTCTGATCTCATTCAGTGATCAATCCAGAGTAGCTGGCAAAGCAATTGCCCTCAATCAGCTACACAGGTATGGCAAAACTGTCAGCTCACAAGCTTGAACATGACTGTTGCTTAGGGGACAGAAAGAAAAAAAATAGTTGGGAAACACCCTAAAATTATTCTTTAAGCTGCAGCAAGATATAAGCAATTAAATATGGATAAAAAATTTGGCATAGTTCCCTGTACTCTAATAATAGGCCACAGGTACTTAAGAAATCAGGGGTAGATGCAGTTTTAAAGCATGCTCAAGTAATTTACATTTCTAGAATTTATTCAAAAAAATTAAATACTTCTAAATAGACAGTATGGGGAGAGAAACCAGGATAGTTATTTACATAGACGTGGTATACTCATGGCAAAAAGAAAGTCTTTTAAAAAATGGAACAACGACAAAAAAAAAAAAAAAAAAAAAAAATCAGGAAGGCAGTAGTTGAACAGCCTATTTCAATGTCCAAACACATGCAAGAATGTGGCTGTAACAGAAATAGTCTAAAGACAGTTAACTAAAGGTGGCTACTTAAAACTAGATTCACGTACAAATGTCTGTAGTAATGTTAAATACAGATAGCATGGAAGAAGTGATGCCACAGCCAGATATATTATTCTCTCCCTTTCTAAACAATAGGTAAAAATAACAGCTGCCTCAGATTATAATACTGGCCAATAAATTCTGCCTCAACTTCAAGAGCACTAACTTAACAGATTTAGAACTACAGTATCTACTCAAGACATCATTCAAAACAAACAAACCAACCAGTCACAAACAGTAGTGTTAAAGTTATAGTTTAATGCAATGAAGATATCCCCTCTGACAGAACCTGTATTCTTCAAAGTGTATCAATTTTTTTTCAGGATATCACCAGTGACTTCTTTTGCAAGATGAAACAGTCGAGGTTTAATGGCCAGTGGTCCCTTGCCAGGGTTGTAAATGTTTCAGAGTACAGGGCTCTATTAGTGCAATTCAGGCCAACAGTTATTAACCACATACATCAATCATGTAATTATTCTTGACAAAGTGATTAAAATCTGAGAAGTTTTAACTATTTTTTAAGAATTTGTATACAACAGTGAAAAGAAAAGCTGAGCTTGGGTCACATCTGTACTAAATTTTACTGTGATGAAGGCAGAAGGAAATAGGGATCTTGAGGAAAAACACTGATAATTTTCTTCTGAGAAAAATTTTCTTCAGAGTTCCAAGAATATACATCCAAAGAGACCAAGAGTATGTTATTCTTCCTCTGTAAGGAGTACAGATTTCCCAAAGCACCTGAAATCCCTTCAGAGCTCAGTTATTACAAGCTGTTCCTGCCAGAATCCCAGGCACCAAGCTTGTATGAGATCATATATTAGGAACTTACAACCCAGTTGAGACTTTGGACTTACACCTTTTATATTGTGATCAACAAATCCCATAAACTCAGCAGCTGCCAAAGTTCTCTTTTAAAAGGCCATGGACTAACTATATGTAATAACTAAAGAACAGCTTTTTAAATCAATTTATTTAATTTTAATGGGTAGAACCTGCTCATCAAAACCAGCATAATTATTTGCAGCTATTTTGAGGGGAAACTGCAAAGGGACTGTTCTGTGAAAAACAGTCCCTTCCATCTTAAGCCACATGTTTCTATCACAGCCACACATACAGTTGTGCTGCAACATAATGTGCATGAAGGAATTGATCAGGCTGAAAACCAGCCAAGTTCACAAGGAAACTTCTTTTCAGTGAGATCAGTTCAGCCCCATAAGTGCCAGAGGAGAACAGGAAGACCCAGGCAAGGGAAGGTGTGAAAGCCATTTCAGCAGCAGTGTGTACTACCACTTCTGCAAAAGCACTGTAGTGCCGGGCTAAGGGCCCTCTCAGTCACTGAGATGCCACCAGGTTTGCTCCTGTGGCCCTCCTCTCTCAGCCCTCATCAGCTGGAGCAGCTGAGATTCACCACCACCACAACCCCCCTCCTCCTCCTTCCCCAGTCTTTGTCAAGCTGATCTTATCAGCATCTTCTGATCTTGTTTTCAGCTGAGATAAAACCAGCACAATAATCTACAAGTCTTACTGGTTTGTCTTAGAAACTGCTCTGAGTGCAGCATCTATCATGTTTGCTTCTTTAGCAAGCTTTTACTCAGGAACTTGCTTTTAAGCATCAGAGGATGTTCACTTCAAAAGTGCCAGAATTTAAAACCCAGTTGCTTAAGTGAAAAGGATACACTTCTTACAGTTGAAAAGTGAGAGCAATTCCTATAAGCACCTGTATGTAATAGTTTAATCATGTAGTTCAGCTTTAATACTCTTACCAAATCCAGTTCACTACTGAGCTGATTACTGTGAGTAACAGCACACTGGCTCCCAGCTGCAGTCAGTTTTTACTGACTACTACAGTAAATTCCTCTCCTTTCTTCATTATACCATTTTCTCACCATTTTAGGCGTGTTTGAATTTTACACTACCCACTTTACATTTAAGTTTAGTAAGGTGGGTTTGAGCAGAGGAAGAAAATTTTAGTGCACTGCTTTTTGTCAGCTGTTGTACTATGGATTTAAAAACAAATAAAGCTTATAGTGCTTTGATTCTGCTAGAGATAACACTACTCTGCTACTAATGCTACCAGGGCACTGGCAGAGGCAGAGCTAAAGAAGAATCACTGGCAGCATGGAAGCAGTTAAGTGAGAACTGTGGCTCCCTAAAGCAAGAGAAGAAAATAGTTTTCCTGTTTGTTATAGTTGAATTTGTTAAAATTGGGATATCCTAAAGTGAATGCTAGGATGCTTAGGAAGAAGGCTACTTTTGAGTCTCAAAAGAAATGCATCAGGCTCTGCTAAGCTGAACAAAGCAGCACTTCTCAGTTGACTTAATGCAAGTGGACAGCGGCTTGGATGCAGATGCTGGTTTAGGGCCATAAGTGAAGCCCAGTGGAACAGAAAGGCAGGGCTCAGCTGAGTGCATCAGACCAGGCTTTTCCTGTCTTCCCAGCAGAGAACCATGTTCCATACCCCTGACTTCCAGTAGTTCTTCAAATACATTTGCACGCTTCTAATGGGAGAATCAAAGAGGAGAGATTAAATAAACAGCTCTTTTTCTAACGCTCTTCATACACCAATTAGGCAAGAAGCTAGAGTTCAGAGATCACTGCAGAAGGAGAAACACCAAATGCCAAGTGTCAAATACAAAGCAAAAGCCTGAAACTTGTTGTAGCAGCAATTTACACACTCAGCTGGAATAAAGATACTATTTGCAAGAAAGCTGGAATGAAGACAGTATTGGATTTGGAAACTTGGATCAAACATATAACCAGGTGGTACACTGTGAGGGACCAATCATCTTAAGATATCCCTTGATGTCTTGTACTAGTACAAGAATCTAGAAGAAGTTTAAGGCTGTTAAAAACTCCAAATGAACCAAAGTGACGAATTGATAAGATAAAGCGTTATGGATGTCAGTGACAGAGAGCTCTTGGGGTTCTCCAGAGCTGAACTGCTGAATCCAGCAATGCATCCAATACTGAGGGTTTGTAATTACAGGGCAACAGACATAACGAGGTGTGTGCACGTACGATCAAACCAGTTCCCCTAGCAACATATCCTACCTAAGGGATATGGGCTTTGCTTTTCATTGTTCCTTTACATACTGTACATGATGGTCTGCAAGCTTCAGAAAGACTGAAGCTTTAAAAAAACCTCTCTGGCATGCCACAGGATTATGCTGTGTTTACCTTGGTTTAGGAGGAAAATGAATCACAGCTCCCCGATTTCAAAGTGAATTTTCCATTCTAAGGATGAAAACTTGCATTATATCCACACTAGCCAGACAACAGCTACTTGCTCACTGAATTCACAAAATAGCTGTGAAAAGTCCAAAAAAAAGCCAGCTTTGAATTACAGAAAGGTTTTCCAAAACTGTACCTGCTACAACTGGACTGGGAATAGAAGCCTGATGTTTAAGTGCCTTCAAACTGAACCTGAAACAATCTGTGACTAGTGTTAGGATGCATCTGGTTTGGGCACCTGCAGATCCTCTAGGATCTAGGCACCTAGATCCTCTAGGATCTAGGCACCTAGATCCTCTAGGAACACATTAATCAGGTTCGTGTTTGGCCAACCAAATCTAACTCAGAAGGCTTGCCATCCAGGGAATACTGTTCTTCACTAGGTATGTAAACTGGGAATATACCCAAAGAACTAAAGTAAATGCCAGGCAATGACCTCATCTGTCAGGAGCTATCTGGATGGCAGGTGTGGCATCAAACATTACCTGGAATTTTGGACATCTGCCTTGTTTAACCTCAGCCAATAGTGAAATTCTGCATCAGCATGTTACAGTGCCAGTGCAGTGACTGATTATTTTGCATTACTTGCGTTCATTTAAGGTTACACTTGTTTATGCAAGTCAAAAAATCACCTTTGAAATGTGTCAGAAATTAATCCAGACCACTGAAGTCCTTCTAGAACATTGCTAAGGTTTGTAAGAGGTTTGATAAACTGGGCTCATCAAACTCTGTTATCAGTTCTGTTATCAGTCCTGTTATCAGTCTTTAAGAAGACATCATTGTATCTCAAGCAGACTGTTTACAAGACTGAGAGTGGGATTGTTTCTGGCAACCCTTGCCCCTTGCAGTGATCACATCACATTCCCTGTGACAGCAGCAGTTACAAGGGAACTATTTAACCACAACTTAATTACAACCAGGCTCCCACAGTTGAGAAAAGGCTCGATTCAGGCAAGTACTGAGCTGTGTATCTACAGTGCATTGTAACTAAGAAAGATGCTGGGCACCTCCTGTTTCCTCAGTGGGAAAAACTGTAAAACAATAAGAAATAATTGTAACAGAAACATGAAAGATATACTGAGCACAGATACACTGAGCTCAGGCAATGAGAGTGGAAGTCAAAGCTGCATGGAAGCAGGAAACCTCAGAGATGTCAACATGCAACTCTTGGCCGTAGGACACTGCCTGGGCAGATCAAAACAGCTTGTTGCACTGAATGAGGCACACAGAGGTGCTTTTTGGGTTGGGGATGGTTTTTATTTTGCTTGGTCCAAGAATATACGTTTGGCCATTAACCAGCTGCTTACTCTGGTGGCAGCTATGTGTGTAGGGAGAGCTCTAGCTGAATTTTGTCACTTCTGTGGTCCAGCTCACATCTAGACAGCAACAGCAATCACCTTTGCATACAGCTGTACAAATTATGAGGTGAAAACCAGTGCAAGTTTAGAACACATTAGTGAGCATCAATTACTTATGAGCTGGCAATACAACAAAAGAGGAAAACAACCCACACTCACTCTATTTTAAGTTTCCACTGAAGCATTACCAGCATAACCATTATTGTACATTCCACACCTTAGCTTGTCAACACAAAGTAGTTAGTGTAGGCAGGCCTGGACAGTAAATAGAAATTCTTTCTATTTTACTAAAATTTGTGTCTTTTCTATTTTTATTACTGTCAGATAGCTGGAAAAATTTTTGCCATCATTCCATGCTCTTGAGAAAATAATATGAAATTCTGTACAGTGTTGGATGGACCAGTCAGTTTGACTCAATACCTCCAACTGTTAATACAGCTATGCTCTTTGGTGCATGCCCACACTACAGTCCAAGAAAATAAGATAAGAGCAAGAAGCAAAAGCTATCATCCACAAGCTTCAGTTATCTGAAGTTAGCATATGGCTCAGTGGTTTGTGGGCTAGTCTGCCATTAAAAAAAAAAGGAAAAAAGTTATATTTACCTTTTCACCTTTTACTCCACTGCAATCACATTTGGACAAAGATGTACATCCATGGCAAGCCTTTAAAGACATAAGAAATAGAATATGTTTTTAATCAGCATAAGACTACATGAAGTCTTTGACAGTCTCACAAAAAGTTAGAAAGTTAATCTAAAATGTAAGCCTACAAAGTCTGTCCTCTAGCCATTAAACACATGTTCAAAGCAGACACAGTTAACTGAAAGTTCAATCACCTTTGGTAATATATATGTTTATTTGTAAGTATTTTACAGTTAGTCCTCCAAAATCTTAGACTTTTACATTTATGCTCAAATGCCATCTGCTCTTAGGGCAAGGTACAATGCAACACCTATGGCCAAAGGGGCCAGCACTTCCACAATCTTCAGCATGTCCCCAACAGAGAAGAGCCCAATTACACCTCCCACCAGTAGATGTCAGGTTTTGCACGAGAGTTTCATCAAGCCTAAAACTTATGAGCATATTTGTGATAGTTGTTAGACAAATACTTACTACGTAATTCTTCCCTGCACAGATAAGTTAGTGAGTAAAGACTTTTTTCAAAACTCTAGATTTCATGTAGCTGGACTCAGACTCCAGTGCAAAGCATGGCAAGGCAGCTACAACAGTCTCCATCATAAGGGGACTGTCAGTCAGATTTTAAGGAGTCAAAGGAGGGGGATATAGTAGCTTGGTCACAGAGAAAAATCGAAGTTAAGTAACTTTTCCATACCACATTTGCTTAAATTATATTCTTCCACCCCCACCCGAACAGGGGATTCTCAGTGGAGCTCCATGTTGATTTCAGAAAGTAACAAATGTGTTAAGAAAAGTGAGATTTCTATAAGAATTTTTTTGGTAGAATGCCTCTACATAATATATAGGGTCATCATTTTTCATCATTATAGTTTTAAAAACCACAAGCCACATTAGAAGATACACTACCTGAAATACTTCAGGGTTTAACTTGTTCTGAGAACAGGTGCAGCATTGTATTAAAAACATACAGAATATACTTTAAAAGTTTGAAAAGCTGGGCATTTGGGGTCCTCCCCTCCAGTAATCTACAGAGAACATTATGTACAAAGTTTCAATCAAGCATGAAACCAGCCGGTGTGTCAGATCTAAAGCACACCCACACTTGAATTCTAGTCTTCATTATCATAGAAGCATTTAGAGACATGACCCATCACCTACCTGGCATTAGGAATGTCCTGGCTCTCGGCCTAAACACACTACACCAAGCATCAGACTGAATACAGTGAAGCAGCTTAATTCACCTGGAGCTACAAAAACCCAGGATCAACTAAAGCATCTTGCAGCAAGAGACAGAGCTCTAAGTACAGCAGTAGTGGTACATGACATGATCAGCCTGTCTCTCCACATCTTCCATTTGGCTTTTGTAATCAGTTTCTTGATTTTATGTACATGAAACCTCAAAATTCTTAGTTAACAGGGATTTACTGAACCATTTCCTAAATTGAAATTGAACCATTCTAGCCAGTTCAGGATTTCAAAGATCAGACTGGACAAAGGCCTGAGTAACCTGGTCTGACCTCATGGCTGTTCTGCTTTGGAACAGGGGTTTTGGCTAGATGCCCTTCTGATGCCCCCCTTCAATCCAAGTTATCCTGTGAATTTGGTATCTGATCCCTTTCGCTTTTAAGATTGGATTCTTAAAAAAACAAGTTCCTTGGGAACCAGTTTTAGTATTAATCTTGTTAACAAAGCTTCATTTAAAAGGGATTAACCTTAGTTACATGCAATATTCCCTCACCTCACAGTACAAGCCCAACACACAGGACTAGCCAGTTACCTGGCTTGCTGTGCCACAGCACTGATTCCTTACTACGAGGACAGAACAGTGAGAGCAACGTGGAAAACCTTTTCTGCCTCCAAGAGGTGGTGGTGGGGGAATAAACTAAATCAGTACTCATCAAAACCCACCAAAAGCTGTGGTAGAACACACACAGGTTACAACAGCACATACTTGAAAAGCATGATCAAGATCCTACACAGTAAGGAGGATTTATTCAGATTGTATAACAGAAGAAACTCATTTAGTCTTCCTTACAGCTTCTACAGAATGTTTATAATAGAAATTTTCTAAGCTTCCAGGTACCAGCAAACTGCTGGGGTAAACAGGGAGAGAAAACAATGGTATGAGATGACATTGCCCCTTCACAAAACAAGTCTGATGTATGCAATGCTGTGAAGGTGAGCTTTCAGACAGTGAAGCTCAAGAGTCTCTGCCCTCTGCTACTGCATCTCTACAGGAAACCCACAGTGATTCTGGCAGCATCAAGACCACATGAAAAAGACCCAATTCATAAAGCAAATGAAATTTTGAGATAATTTGGTATGGAAGGAATCATGCAAAGCAGGGCAACTTAGGGCAGGTTGTACAGGTGCTTGCCCAGCTGCATATTGAGTAACTACAGTGGTGGAGATCCCACACCTCTTTAGGCCTTTGATCTGGTGTCTGATTGCCTTCATGGTGAAGCTGTTCCTCCACAAAACATCTCACCGGAATTCCCTGTGTTGCAACTTGTATCCATTAAAACAGTTTCCTGTACAGAGTTTTCGAAGAACATGCAGCTCTCCCTCATTCTATTTGCAGTTAAAAACACCCAAAGTGCTTTGATTCAATCAGTGTAGGGGTTCTTTTTAACCCCGTGACTGTCTCCCAAAGCAATTTATATATTCAGACTGGATTCCTTATGCTTTGAGCAGCCTCTTAACATATACAATTAGCCCGTCTTGAAGAGTCAGGAGTACTCACTGAATCCTTTTTGACAGATGGTTTTGGACATCCAGTTCAGATGCATTACTTGCAGGAAGGAAACACAGTCTTTCCCAGACAACAGTGAAGAGAAACTACAAGTCTGTAATCAGAAAACTCTGCAAATACCCCCTGTAATCAAATGATAGCAAATTTTTGGCATAAATCCTGGGAACATTTATTCACCCACAAGCTTATCAAGAAGTACTCCCCCAGCAGAGTCACTTATCTTCCTGTACAAGAGCTGTATTTGGCAGATTGTATTTCTTATTTGCAACAACCTGTACCCCTACCAAATTAAGGGATTTTTAACTAAACAGTTTGAAGCAAAATTGCCTTGAGAATTCTTACTATATCAATTCATGCCACTTACAGGACATATTGCTGTACAGCTTAAAAAAAAAACAAACAACAACAACAAAGCAAAACATGATGGCACAGAAAAAAAAAGTTTAATGACCTACTCTAAGTGAAAACTTTCCTCCTGTTTAGACTTTTCAGTAACCTCAAGGCCTTTTTTTACTTGGCAAAGCAGGCACAAAAGTAGTGCTACAGGAGACTGCATACTGCATAACAAGCTAGTACAAGTCTGAAAGCCACTCAGCAGCCACAGGCTAGAGATTTTTGATGTCACAGAATCAGTTGTGTATCTCACATTAATGCAAAGAAAATCCTGCACATGAACAATAACTTATCTACAGCTCAAGCGAACAAAGAAAACGGATACAATGACAACATTTCAAGAGTAGAAAAAGCTAAATTAAGAGCAAGATTTAGATGTTTACAATCAGTAAATTGCCCTTAGTAACAGCTTAACCACCACGAGTTCTGAAAATTAAGTGACTGACTGGGTTTTCAAATAGAGAAAATTAAATTACTCCAAACCTCAGGGGGTCTCCAAGTTACACTTGGTGCATATATTACAGGTTGGGAAACCGAGGAAGTCTCCTGCCTTGTATTAGGCAGCCAGAAGCCTTCAGTAGCAGTTCAATTCCTGGCTCTGGCCAGCAGGACACATTGTCTTAGGTGACAGGGAAGATGATAAAACATACTGTATGTAAAAGTGAGTGGTAGCTGAATCATCAGGAGCTGGTCACAATCTGCACATCTATTAAAATCTTTTAGTTTTCAACTACGCAAAGATGAACAAGAAATCAAGGCAGCTTTTAAGAGCCAGGCTGGAACTGCTCAGATTTGCTTCTTACTATATACCTGTTGCCTCCTCTTCACACACCTCTAAAGATGAGCTCGCCATCATTGCCATTTCCTTTGCTGTGACTTTTCCATAAAAAGACACAACCAGAGGCTCTAATTAATCTATTTGAGTTTAGCTAATCCTTTCATTGGATTTTCCTGACAGCTTCTACCCCATTGAATCTGTGTGTGGAGAGCAAGTTCTTTTCATTAGTATATAAAAGGAGGGATGGTATTGGTTTACTAGTCAAAGGATAATTCTTCCAGAACAAGCTCAGTCTTTTGTGTCTTACATGGACTGAAGAAAACTGCTTTCAATGCCACCAAAAGAATGGAGTTTTGTTTGTTTGTTTGTTTTCCAGTTTGAAGAAAAAAAAGCATACTCTTGGATGCAGGTTTCTCAGTGAAGTGAATAGCCTAAGTTATCCTCAGATTTGAACACATAACAGTATTTTAATACTCTTTCCGTGGGAAAGATTACAGAGGTGGGGAGGGAAGCCAGTCATTCACAGACCTTGACGCTTACAAATTAGAACCTGGCAATCAAGAGGAGGTGCAGCTTCTTACAGAATCACAGTAGGTGACTCAGTAAGGTGCCTTTGCAAAATATCAGTAGTTCTGACATGACCCAAGTTGCTTACAACTGACTTCTCAATCCAGATATCAAACAACTGGATAAGAGAAACAAGAAACAGTTTGAACATTTACATACTTGTGCAATTTCTTTATTTTGACATCCTTCTGCATAATTTCATCATGAATTCAAAATTTCCTATTTGTTAACCCATCCCATTTCTAGAAGAGCACAGAGACATTACTGAACCTCCCCAGCAATGCAGTTTGTACTAACACACCACTTGCTTTTCTTGCCAGCTCCATTCTGATGGCAGCAAGAGGTCAAGTAAGCATCAAAAAACTGATTGTGTACAGCCACTGATTTTAAATGCTGATGTGTCCTGCAATGCATTAAGACCCCCTCAGAGATTTAAATGACCACTAAGCTTCAGCATGCAACAGCACACACCAGCTTCATAAACAGACGTCCTGAAGGAAACCAGACAGTTATTTGACACCACAACATTGTAAGCTACTTCATCAG